ATATTTTTATATTATATTTTATATTTTGATAATTTCTTTTCATACATGATATTTGAACTCAATGTTTAAGGTCTATAATATTTTATTTTGCAATAATTATTAATCATTTTATTTTGTAATAATTATTAATTCTTGAAATTAAAAATCATTGTGTTTGGTGTTTTTAAAATCAAATATCATTTTATTTAAAAATGTCAAAATAATTAGTCATATTGTAATAGTTATATAAGTTAATGATTTCAAATTTTTTGATGAAGTGTCATTTCAATGTTGTTTAGAGATAGTAATTTATAAAATATTAGTAATATTTTATTTACTTTATAATAAAATATAATTAAATTAAAAAATATATTTTATTAATAAGTAAATTAGTTTTATTGTATAAATTATGCAAAAATATTTAAATTAAAAAATAAAATTAATCTATTAGATTCAACAATGACTTTATAATATAACATTAAAATTAGTTTAAAAAAAGCACACAAATAATTTTTGAATTAGTTTGAAAATATAAAAATTTATGATATAAAATGATTACAATTAATTTTGAAAATAAGTAAGTTTTTAATTTATATATTAAATAGATAATATTAATTATTATTAATTTACATATAATTTTATCTCGATAATAAAAATTTTTCATATATCTTTCGATATAAATTAAATTATTTGAAAATAATAATCTAATCATTTTTAATGATATAAAATTATCATCACATAAAATTATTAAGTGATTATCGAAAAAGATAATATAATTACTATTCATCAATCATTATGTTTTTGAATGATCATATTATACCCAACACGACCGTTTGAGTAAAAGTATCATTCCTTGATCATTGAGTCCAATTTTAAAATAAATAAATTTTTATTATTTTAAAATAATTAATAGTACAATTTTCAACATTTTTTTTTTCTTTCATCTTTCTTTGATCTCAAAACCTAATATAAATACATAAATTAAATTAAAGATAATGATGTTTGAATTGGTGCATTAGTCACAAATCACTTTTTTATAATCAAAGCTAAACATGTGCTAATGTTTTTTTCTTTTTTTTCTTTTTCTCCTCTATGAATGTTAGATTTGTGAGGGATTGAGATTATGTGGCCAACAAGTGATTTTGGTCTAATAATTTTGTCGCATGAAATTCAACCTAAATGCCAATGGTCTAAGCCTAGATGTAGATATTAGGTTCTAAACTTCTAAAATATATAGTTTGATCTTAGTCTAAACTTATGAACTTGCTAGGTAAATTTTTTTGTTTTATTTTTAGACTATGGCATTTTTAATATAAAATATAATATTAAAAAAAAGTTGAAAGATTATAAAACAATTAGAATTAATAATGAAAGATTGAAAATCAAATAACTTATTTAAGATGAAAAAGAATAAGTAATATCTAAATTTCTTTTATTGTTTTTATGAACTATGTGATTTTTTTTTGGTACATTATAAACTAAATGTCCTAGAAAATAGCTACATGTACATATAATATGAATATTATTTATATGTTGATGGTGAATTTTTTTAATTTTATAAGTGAATTTATACTATTATCATATGTTTATTTATTATTTAAAAAAATAAATGAAAATGTGTTAAAATTTTAATTTTGCTTATTAAGTTAAATTATTTGATGAACACTGTATTGGATCATAATTCATATAATTTTAATACCCATTTATAAATTTAGGAGAACAGACATTTGTTGTTTTTTTTTAGGAAAAAGACATTTATTGTTTATGAGCAGTAACATTTTTGCAATTTTTCAAAAAAGGCAGGTAGGAGAGTCGGTGGAACATAGACTAAATAGAAAATGATTCAAAATTTATGATGTCCAACGTGAATTATTTCTGCTTTTCTGAAGCTGGCAAGTTTCTGAAATGGCCAGCTCGATTTTGTACTTTGCAATTAAGTCCACTTTCAGCCTTTTTAGCGTTGTAGGTTTCCTAGCTATAATAATAAATAATAATAAATACTTTATACTCATCCAGGATTAATACCAGCAACTTGGCTATGACTTCAATCATTTTCATTTTAAAATGATGGTATCTAATTTTAATCATCGAATTTTAATAGTGAAAGTTACTAAAGAGATCATTTTTATATATTAATAATAATTTTATGTTTTACTTTTTTAATTTTTTTTAAAATATGTATTATTTTATTAATTTTATTTATGAAATTTAAAAGTATTTCTGTCAATAAAATGTGATAATTTTTCTTTTATACAAATAGTAAACTTTAGTAATACTTTATATTTATTTTTTACTTCAAATATTTTTTTGTTAAAAAAAGAGTAGCAAAGTACCATATTTATAACCATGTTTGGTTTCTTGGTCAACAACCTATTGCCTAGCTATGTTGCTCATAAGCTATGTCCATGCTTCTTCCTCTTTGGGGTAAGGTTTTTTCTTTACAAGAACAACAAAATATTAACTTGGTGACATTCAAATTACAAGTTGTTTTATTTCTTTGTTGTTTAATGGTACTATGTCTGAACTTTGCCATGCAAATCCATTGAACTTCTCATATTGGACAATCTATAAAACACCAAATACTTCTCTTTCTACATTACTAGATAATTTATATATTATTTTTTTTATAATGATATAAAATAGAATTGAGGTCTTTCTTTGACCCAAGAAGGCATATTTCCATGGCTTATAGTCATACGAACATATAACCAACGGAGATTATGGCACAAAACATGGGTTTCTTTGTCCCAAGAAGTGTAAGAAAATGACAGAAAATCTTGAAAATTGCTTCGGATTAAGATCCATTGTGTTTGATTGACAACGAAACTTATCAAACTATAATCACAAATGCTTAGCGGAAAACATCGCCTCTTTTTCCTAAAAATTGTGCCCAATGAAATCGAATTCATGTGGAAAATCATCAATTATGGATGAAAGTGGGGCAACGATGATTATTGATGATGAGTCACCCGTGAAAATGAAGACCGAAAACTTTTTAGAATTGGAGCCGAAGAAGATTCTTAATGTCAAATTCATATTTGATTTTATTATTTTTAAAATTTTCATGTTTCAATAAAAAAAAATTCACGTTGAAATCATTTTTATATATAAATTTTCCTTCCAAAATAATTCTTAAATTTATTACAATTATATCATAAAAATTTAAATATTCTGGTCAATAACTTAGAAGGATCATGGGGCAAGATCACTGTGTTTGAGGCTTTTGTCTATTAATCTAGTTTTTCTTCAATCCAAAGTTTGTACTTGTGATCTTAAAAGGGACATGTTTTTATGACTAAACGGCCCCCATGCATGCTATTTTACGAGGAACCCTAAACCTAATCTTAAATTATAAATCATATATAGTAAAATTTCTTCAAATTTAGTTTCTTCATTGATTTTATCTTTTGAGTTCAATTTTCTTTCATGGAAGTGATCATGGATTCCCCATGCTTCTAATCATTTTCCACCTTAAAATTAAAAGGAAACCAACAAATGAATGATTTAAGGGATTTTTTAATTTTTTTATTTTTAAGTTTTTAATTTACCTTTAAACCTTTTATTTTATTATATATCTGATTGAAAAAGATATTATATGCTTAAACTTTTTCAAATCCGTAATCTCAAAATATCAATTTTATTAACATATCACTGATTTAAGGAATAATCGACGATTTAATATTTTTTTTTGCTATATAATATCAATTCATAATTACATTTTATGATTAAATTTATAAAAATTCATTAAATAAAGCAACATTCATAGATGGTGAGAAATTTCTCGTAACCAATCCATCCAAATAATGCCTTAGCGTAGTTGGTTAAATAATTTCAAAAGTTAGATAGGGTCAACATCTTCCTTTCTTGAGAGTTCATTAAAAAAAAAAAAAAAACGCTTTCTTGAAGGTGGAAGATCATTTTCAAGGCACAAGCTTTTTGGTTATGGAAGACAAACCAAACCTGCCTCGTTTGTTCTTTTCTATTTTGTTAAAATAATGTTGACATGATTACTTTAATTAAAATAAAATACTAATTGGAAATATTTTATATTATTCTATTTCTCTCATGACAAGATTAGCAGAAAGGTTATGTTGATTTGCTTTGTTTGTTTCATAATCTTTTAAAAAGGGCCCCATTTGTAGGTGGCTTAATAAAAAAAAATTAAAGCATAAATAGAGTTAGTTTTTTAAAGCAAAATTCCATGAGCCTCCCTTTGTTTAACCCCTTTTTTTTTAATCATTCCCTCTTATATTATCTACCACAAATTGTTTGATGCTCATGCCAAATTCAATATATGGTAGATATGCTCATCCCAAATTCGTAATTAAATTGAATTCAAAGTTTAATGCAAAAATTAATTTATAAATGATATTCAATAAATCTAAAATTTAAATCTTAACATTTATAATATTTTTTTATTTTAAATTAGGACCTCATTTAAATTAAAAAAATATAACTAAACTCACATACTTTTGGATAAATGTTACAATTTATTTATCAATTAATAACGCGTACTCCCACATGCATATATACACACATAATTTCACTTTTATGGATAACAAAATTTATAATTTTACTTTTATAAAAATCAATGACATTTAAAATTTTAGATTGATGTTAAATTCAAATAATTTGTTCATTTTTAGTCAAATAGTTAAGCTCTTTTACTATTTTTTTTTTTATTTTATAGCAATGCCATTACTCAAGAATTTCCTTATATTGAAAGCAACATTATTTTTAGTGTTTTTTTATTTGAACATTTTAAGTAGGGTTGATTCATACCTGAATGTTCCAAAATGGCCTAGGAAAAAAACCCATTTAAACTATTCAAGTATAGGTCACAAGGGTTTGCTTGGATCATCCAGGCCCATTCAAGCATTATTATAACTTGAAAAAAATGCAAGAACTTTTGCTTGTTTGATTTTTTTTTTAATGTTTTTGATAATTTCAAAGAAAAAAAAGTGTCCTCAGAGGGTAAAACAATGAACTTTCTGATTTTGATTTGGTTACATACTGGAAGAAGGAAGAGCTGCCTGTGGTCTCAAGCCAATAATGTGCCAACCATAGCTAGGATAAGCTCATGGGTTTTGAGTATTACCAGAGGGCTATAATGAAAGTGATATCAACTGCTAAACCAAATGGAGAAAACAGATAAAGAAAAAAAAAAAAAAACTAATGAACTAATAATCACATTTACATTTTTTTCCAAGTTCAATAATTGAGATACAAAGGATTTTAGCCACTTGACTTTCAGCCAAATTCGGCACATCTATCATACAAGAATCAACTTGCCTGTCCTCAGCAAGGAAGGAAAGAAGAGCCTCATAGTAAAAATGCAGTTGACACATACACCTGGTTCAACCCTTTAAAAAAGAGAAGGAAAAATAAATTACTGTGGCAGAAAAAATGAAAATTTAACAAGACAGCATTTTCAAGATAAAACTACGTGCTATCGCACATATACAGAAGTCAAATTTGAAATTACAAAATTTTTTTCTGCATTTAAAAGTTGAAATATTTCACCCAAGGGCCAAATGCCAATAATTTCATTCATAGACAAAACCTTGATGAACAAACCATACAATACCACCCAATCATGCTCAAGCGCGCACCATCCACACAGGTGGGCCATAGATGTAAACAGCTGTAACATGACATCATTTTAGTCACAGGGAAGCTAATGATGCATTACCTGCTAAACATGACATAGTTATCAAATGAAGCCCAAGGACATACTCCAGTTCTGTTACTGTTGCACATCACTTACAACCAACATTGTTATGCAAGAATGGAAGGCTCATGTTTAGTACTAAAAAGGGAATGCAATCAGACTGAACTATGAGACAGAAAGAAAATTATAGCTTAAAAGAAAACATAAATGCACAGCAAAACTGTCATCTTACTGTTATTTCTTCCACATATTTATACACATCATTAACTTTCGCCACAGACACGAGCCATTTCGAAGTTTACTTATCAGAACTTAGAGGCCATTTTAGAATCATGCATTAATACTATAATTAATTACATAGAACAATATCAATAGCAGAAAACATGGCATGGAAATTTAAAAGGAGTTTTTTTGCCATTAGATCATTATGGTTAAAGGAAAGATAAAGGAAACATCTTTGATATTGGTGGTGACATCAAAGGAAAAGAATATCTATCTGGAGCTACAACTAACCTGTCTCCTTCTTCGACTTTGTAAGTACCACATGCGAGCCATCACATAGCATGGAAGAAGAAAGCCAGCAAATTGGAGAAGCAAAACCTGAAACTGATGACAGAGATTCTAGTTCAGTCTTAGCTTGAAAGTAAAAGGAATAAAGAATAAATACAAGTATCTCAAGAATCCCACAACATTTGTCAGCTAGGGTTACAACTATGTCAGTACTCTTATCAACATCTTTCTAAGAGAAAACTTTCAACTTATACACACAAATCAAAGCAATTGTGCTTGAACATATTTACATCTACATCCCTACACACATATGGATGACATTTCTATGGCAACGTGTCGAATGCATGTAAAATAAAAGTATTTGTACGGCACAACATGCAAATGCCCACTGAGGTGCTACTATGGTGCAACAGATGTTCCGAAGGTGTCATGTTGTACTCACATTAATAAAAGCTGACAACTCCTGCATCATGCCAGAATATCTTATCAACATTAGGGCTTGGCGTAAGAGCAAAATGATAAGCAACTGCATACCAACCCACATAAATTTCCAAATGTGAGACAAATTATCATTCTTGAGCAAAGAATGCTGAAAAAAAAAATTAAGTTTTATTTGCTTACGATGAGGGCAACAGAGCGAAGACAGGCAAGGCTACCACTATTTGCATTAGCATAATCTTCATACTCTGATTGGAGTAATTGGCTTTGAGAAGCAGTTAGCACTAGAAGGTGTGAATCACGGAGATCAAGATGTGGGCTCCATGCTTGCCTGATCACAAAGTTTAACTTAAAATAAAAGTAACTAAATAATCACAATAAAACAAGCAGCTCCATAAACAATGCCTGGTCAATCCCCAAGACCACAAACAAGGATGTCATACTACAGCCTTCCTAGTTCCTACTAATAATTGGCAGGCTCTTCTGCCTAGTTCCTGGTCCAGGAACTTGCAACCAGCTAAAAGGTCAGAAATTTTATTTTTCAGAAGGAGTGGTATAAGCAAATCATTTACAATCATCTTATCTTTTTTCTATTTATCTTCCTCTTAGTTTTCAAATAACTCTTATGGTCTACTTTATGTTTCAAATAATTAATCAAACATCAGTTGACATTCAATCTTGCAAATTTGTAATATGTTGATCATATATATTACACAGGTCTATTGCCATAAAGCAGTTTATAGTTTGTCTGGGTTCAAAGCTATCAATATTTGAACCAAAAACAATCTGAAGCTGGCCTGGATTGGACTGAAATCTAACAATGCACATAGATGGATTTCTGCACTCAATAGTTTCCTTGTTCAGTATTTATACTGCCATAATGCCTAAACCAGTTTCTAATTTAGGCAATGACCAGTAACGTTAAGAGAATTATAATTGTTCCACAGTTCCATATCAGATACCATTTGAACCAAGCTACAAGAAAGATATAGCAATAGAAGCTGTAAACCAAAAAAAAGGATTACCTTATGTCAATGGCCAAAACATCTGGACTGCTTCTGGACGAAAGAAGAGAATAATTTGGTGAAAAAACCTGATAAAAAAAAAGAGCAAATACTGAGAATTTTATCAGTCAAATACTGAGAATTTTATCAGTCAATGGCATATTTTTCCCTTTTGGTATATGCAAGAGTTAAACTTTTTTTTTTTTAAAGAGGTAAAAATGTCCAACCTGTTTGCATATTTCGCAAGTTATGTCACCTTTCTTGTTGCACCATCTTTGAATGCACTTCCTGTGAGCAAACTAAAGCAAAAAAATTGAAAATAAGTTAAAAATTACTTCACATATTTTAATCTACTGATAACCAAATAACCAACCCATGAAGAAAGCTAACTTCATAACAAAAAGGCACATAGTTGGACCATTACATCGATGACAATTTCCACATATAAATGTCAGGAGAAGCAAAGCAACTTAACCTCAAAGAATATACAAAAAGTCGTAACAACTTAAAAACCATATTTAAACATACTTGCCAATGTTGGAGGAATGATTCATTCACATATTGTACATTTACACTTGCAGACCTCAGCAACCAACAGATAAAAGCATGGCACAAAATTAAGAGAAAAGGTTAAATGTACATGTTGCAATCTGAATTAGAAAACTTTTGCCTAAAGTTCATAGAAATTAAAGATATGCAACATGGGATTGAAAATCCTCCCAAGGCCAAACTAAATTATAATTTATAAGTAATTAAAATAATAATTCAATAACCATCACTGTAAGCTAATCAAAACAAAAAGAAACCATTCTGACATCTGCTATGTTGATGCCAGCTGGTAGAAGTTATGGAAATGTATGAGACAAAAACATAGATAAGAAAATGCTTTTTTTTTTAATCTCTTCAACAGAGAGCAACAAAAGCATTTTAAACTTTATCATTGTTAATTTGATATTGAGGCCTAGGAAATAACGTATGAGGGACAGAGAATCAGTCAAAAGGAGACACAAAAGAAGACTTAAAAAAGGAACACGCCAAGCAATGCTCACTTTCCAAAACAAATAAAACAATGCCGTCATAGAATTATAGGCGCAAAACTTGAACCCACTTTCCTAGAAAATACCACATAACCATCTCTACATAACTGGAGCCCAGTCAACCCAAAAAGATAAAAGGAAAAAAAAAAGAAAAAACTCAGAATTAAAAATTGAAAAGACAATCTTTAAACAAAGAAAAAGGAATCTCCATCTTCATTGAAACATAAAGAACTCAAAAATTCAAAAGTCAAAAAAAAAAAAAAACTTTAACTAAAAGAAAAAAGAAAAAGAAGAAAAACCCAGAGAAGGAGAGACCTTGAGGGTGCCATTACAAGCACAAGGAGCTTCCAAAGAAACCAAATCATCTTCCTCTTGACATATCCTACACTCCATCATCTCTTTAACCTTCTTAGAACAAGACCCTTTTTTTCCTTCTCCTTCTACTTCTTTTTCATCATCATCGTCGTCTCTTGTTTTCTTCACAGAAACACCATTAGTATTCCCATTTTTTGTTGAATTTGGTTGTCCTTCATTCACTGAAGACGACTCAAAACAAGCTGCCGATGCTATGATTCTATCTACACATACCATGAAATCATCCACCATTTTTTGCTTCCTCTTTATCTTTTTCTTTCTCTAGTGTTTTATTCCGTACGAACAGTTTTCTTTTTCGTTGAAGATCGAAGAACAAAGGAGAGAGCGGGGAAGTGGGGGGTTTAAAAAGGCGAAGGTGGCAAAATTTACGAAATGGAACCAACTTATGTTTTCTTGGACGGAAGTGTCCTTGAGTTGGGTTTCTCGATTTTGTCCCAACTAAAATATCTTTTGTAAATAAACACAAGTCTGTAAACACACGTATATGAAAGAATGTGTACATGTGATTTGTTTGTTTATTTTTAAAGTTGTTTAGGTTTGGTTTGTTTTGGTTAGAAAATTATTTTATTTATTTGAGTTTGATTTGTTTAAATGATAAGAAATTTTTGTTTAGCTCATATTTAATTTGATTAAGTTAAATAAATTTATTTATGAATATTAAGTGAATATATTAATAAATTTATATAAACGAATATATTTATAAATAATAAATAAATCATAATCAAATAAATTTAAATAAAAATTTTAAATACACTTAAAAAAATATAAATAAATTTTAAAATAAAATTAAAATAATTAATAAAAATATAATTTTATTAGTATTATTATAAGCAAATGATAATAAATAAATAATAAACAAACAAATTTTAAATGAACTTTAAATAAGTTTATTTACGAATATAAATAAAAAAAATAGACTTCTATTCTTATTTGATTGTTTAATAAATAAAAATAAAAATATTATTTAAAATAATTTATTAAACTTAATAAACGAATATAAATAAATAAAAAATTAAATACGTTTATAAACAATTCATAAAAAACTTTACTTGTTTACATTTTGATCTAAATGGTTGAATCATAACTTGTTATGGTATTGGTAAACTTGGACCTTGAATTAAAATATATTTTAATTTTACTAATTTTTGAAAAAATAATTAAATTAAAATATTTTGCAAATGTAATTGATAAATTCAAAATTATACTTTTAATTTCTTTATTTTTTGAACAAAAAATAAGATTTCAAATTTTCATAAAATATTTTATTTATGCAAATAGTAAATTTTCATCCATTCGTTATTTTACACTAAAAAATCTACAAAATAAAAAATATAATAACAAAATTCAATAAATTTAATAATATATATAATGATCAAATCAATATTGAATTTGATATTTGACTTTATTAATGCTTAAAAAGTATTAATTCTTAATTGACATCCAAATTCCTAAAATTATTATTTATTAATCACTATGACCATATGATTAAAAAAATAAGTAGAAATTTCGTCGTACATTGCTTTATTGGAGAATAATAATATATACACAATTGAAATTAGATTACTATTAGACCACATTAATTTGTAACGATTATTATTTCTTTTGATAAAACTTCTTTATTGTGAGAAATTTCTTTTTGTATTCTAGTACTTCCACTTTTCTCTAAATTTTTCACACTTTAAATTTTTTTGTCTTACTACATTTTTTTGAGATTTCATGTATGATAATCGCTTTAAATCTTAATTAATTTTGAATCGAATTGAGTCGAACTTCATAAAAAAGATAAGCTCTTATAAGTTTATTTTTTTTATTCAAAATATTCAAAACCGATACCTTACTTAAAAAGAATCGAATTTTTTGTTACTCGGACCAATAAGTGTTGGTTCCTATTTTATTATTTATTTGATTGAAAAAAAATTATATGTTTAAATTTTTTCGAATTCATAATCTCAAAATATTAATTCTGATAACATATCAACTGATTCAATAAATAGATTAAAATTTTCATTTCTTTTGGTTAAAGACTAAGACATTCACTTTTTAAATGACCTTTTAATTTGCTTTGATTAACTCGCCTTAATCGTGAAAAAAAAAAAAAGAAAACTCACCTTATAAAGAAAAGTGGTATCATATTGGACAGCATAAGCTGTCATTTCCATGATTTTGAGGTTGTATTTGTTTTTGTATAGTTGAAGGGAGGATTTATAATGATGGCTTTGAAAAATGTGGGGAAGGCATGCTTTATGTAGGGTGAACGAAATTATTGTGTAGCAAATGAGGGACAAATTGGATATGGAAGACAGAAGATGTCTTGAATGTGATCATGATTGGAATAATACAAATATATATGTAGTTGTGAATCAAATGATCTGTTTTGGAATAATACCAAAATATGTACAAAAAAGATGTCTTGGATGTGAGCATTGGAAAAGCTTTGTGGCCAAGTATTTTGGTGCCAAAATTCTTTCATTGTCTGCACTGAGCACATACTTGTCCTGCTTCGACAAGATCCTGACGTTGCAAACACTGCTTCCTTTTATGTCAAGCATCTCATTCCTGGCTTATTTACCTTGACAACTTACGACTTGTTTTTCCATCTCCATCTTCTCTGTAAAAAAAATAAACCTGTATTGCCAGGCACAAGGCATTACCTTTCCTTTGGTCCTCTTCTCAGGACTCACATTTGGCATTCATTTCTGGAATCTATACCGTTTGGTTCACTGGACAGCCATGGGCTTGAAAGGAGCTGCCTTGGCAGCTTCAATTTCAACATGGATGTCATTTCTTTAGTTAGCAATCTATGTCATCTTCTCCAAGGAATTGGACAAAACCTGGAAAGGGTTGTCGTTTGAATTATATCGTTACATTTTCACAATCTTGAAACTAGCCATACCGTCTCTGCAGCAATGCGACAATGATGCAACATGCATTGATCTTTAAATTTCCTATAACTTGAATATATATATATATATATATATATATTTATTTATCAAGCTCACCTATTTACTTTTCTTTTCCTGCTAATCTATAGTATTTGGCTTTTTGAGCTTCTTCTTGTGATTTTATCAGGATTGATGCCAAACCCGAAACTCAATTCTTCATTGGTTGCAATCTGGTTGTCTTCTCTGTTATCTTTTTGGACAATGTTAAACATTTTTCTTTTTTCTCCAAGCAAACATACATGGATGGCAACTAGCAAAATGAATCCAAACTTGAAAATTTGTTTAAAAAATATGAACTTAAATATGTTCGATTCTGATTTGAGAAAGAATTTTAGAATTCGAATTCGTGAACACTCAAACTTAAAATAGCCTGAATATGAAAAATTCAAACCCAAAAGAATCCAAATTAAACCTGAATTTGAAAAGCTTACTGAAATGGCTATATATATATTTTTATAAAATCTAAAATTTACTTGATTAATCTGATCTCAAAACTACCCGTTTACCACCTCTAGTTGTAACCTTCTTTTCAGACTGTTAATCGTATTGATTTCCCTTATAAATTCTCCAAGCTCGCAAGAGCTGGATTTGTACATTTTTGCTTGATATTTGTAGCTTGAATATAGAAGCTATTGCCTACATGATTGCCTATGGTCTTAGTGCTGCAGCAAGGTTAGTTCGCAGAATTAATGTCGTCACGATTTCACCAATTTTATATGTAGCAATTTTATCAGTTTTCGAGGGTCTAACAGAAGGAAAAAACTTTTTCCTTTTACAGCTTAAGTGTGTCTGATGAATTGGGAGCTGCAAATCTTGCCGGAGATAAGCATGCCACGGCTGTTGCTTTGAAGTATCTTTCTTTCTTGCTGTCGCTGCTGTTCTAACTATTTATCTTTGTTGATTGGTCATGATACTAGGGTTGGTTTCTTTACTGACGAGCTTTTTCCCAAAATAAGTTACTTTGTAATCTTTTTTTTTTTAATAAGAGTACTTTTAAATTTTATTTCAAAACAAAAATATTTTGATGAAAATTTTGTATTTGAAATAATTTTTGGATTCCAATCAACAAAAATTATCCAATAAGTTTGTAATTTCGATTTTAATATGTTAATATGATAATATTGTAAACAAAACTTAGTTTTATTTTTTTTAAGAGATACAACAAGAAGTTTTTAATCTAAAAATACTAGATTTAGCAAAAAAAAAAAATCTAAAAATCAAAAGACAACAAAATGGGCCTGAGTCCGGCCCGCCCAAATCAAAGTCTGTTAAAACCCTAAAATGACACTATATATGGATAAAGCGAAGCTAGGGTTTTGTCTCCCTCTTGTTCGCATCTTCGAAATCCACAGGGTTTCAGCGGAAACAGCCGCCTCGCACTAAAATGGTCAGTTCCGTCCTCTCCTTTGAACTTCTTCACTCACTTTAATTTTGTTCTAATTCTTTACTTATGATTTCAATTCTCAGAATTCTTTTTGTTTTTCTTCATTTTTTTCCCTTTAAGATTTTTTCATTATTAGTTTGTTGAATCACTGTGTACTTTGAACGTGTTGTCATAGCATTTCTCTATGTAAACATATGAAAATATTGTCTCTTTTGTTTTGTAATGTTGATTTTGGCTGGTGGGTAGTTTTGCGTTAGCCATAAAATTGGGGTTTTTTTTTTTTTTTCTCATGTCTTGCTAATATCTGGCTGTTGGATGACAACAACAGCTTCATACTTTCAAATATTGTTTTGCATAGGATGGAGAAATAGGAAGTGTAGTTGCTGAAATGGAATGCTAGATCAAATGCTTGCGTTTGATTGTGTTTTATAATGGTTTTGAAATGGTGGGAGGTTTTTTTTTTTTTTTTTTTATCTGCTTTATTCTAAGTTTATCTATGATTTAGTTTTTAAATGCATGGACTCCTAGTTGTGTTTGATTCGGGTCAATTTATTTTGTTTATGTAAAAATTCTTCTGCTTTAAAGTCTATAACATTGCGGCTTCGTTTAAGCTTTTCCTTTTTCCTTGTGTATACAGGCTAGAGGGTTGAAAAAGCATTTGAAGAGGCTCAATGCCCCTAGGCATTGGATGCTTGACAAGCTTGGTGGTGCATTTGTACGTTATCATCTTGAACCTTTTACTTGGTTTCCAGTTTGATGCTGCTCCCTCTTAATTTTGTATTTAATCTTTGTTCATGCAGGCTCCGAAGCCATCATCTGGACCTCACAAGTCCAGGGAGTGCTTGCCACTCATTCTCATTCTGCGAAACAGATTAAAGTATGCTCTAACATATAGAGAAGTGATTGCTATTCTTATGCAAAGGCATGTTATGGTAGATGGGAAGGTTAGGACAGATAAGACCTATCCTGCTGGTTTCATGGGTATGTAGAATTCGCCTTTGTGGATCAATTGAAGTTTTTATATTCTAAAATAACAAAATCATACAAAGTATTAGTTCAGTTTCTCTGATTTCCACGTGTCTTTGAGATCATTCATTTATTTTTTTGTGGTAATTGCTCTAATTTTGAAATACACGGATTAATGAGGCTGGGTGCTGGGCTGTCGTCATTGGCTGATAATTAAGTCTTCTAGTTTTACTTTGATGTCTCCTCTATGAGGATTTGACTCATTTTCCAACCATTTCCCAGTTTTGAATCTTAACCATTCTTTGTTTGCTACTACCAGATGTTGTGTCAATTCCCAAGACAAATGAGGACTTTCGTCTCCTTTATGACACAAAAGGTCGTTTTCGCCTTCATGCCATCACAGGTGATGAGACTAAGGTTTGTATCAATGGCACCTCAATTTGTTATATTTCCTGTTACCGTTGCCTAATATTGGTTAAGCTTCTCTACCTATTTGATCCTGTTGATTGTATTGTCATGATTGACTTGGTTCTATTGGTCTCATATCTGCAGTTTAAGCTTTGCAAAGTTAGGTCTGTTCAATTTGGCCAGAAGGGTATTCCCTACCTCAATACTTATGATGGACGCACCATCCGCTACCCAGACCCTCTGATCAAGGCTAATGACACCATCAAGCTGGACCTAGAGAGCAACAAAATTGTTGATTTCATTAAGTTTGATGTTGGGAATGTTGTCATGGTCACTGGAGGAAGGAACAGGGGACGTGTTGGAGTGATTAAGAACAGGGAGAAGCATAAGGGTAGCTTTGAGACAATCCATATTCAAGATGCTGCTGGCCATGAGTTTGCAACTCGTCTAGGCAATGTCTTCACGATTGGTAAAGGAACAAAGCCATGGGTGTCACTTCCCAAGGGCAAGGGTATCAAGCTATCCATCATTGAGGAAGCCAGGAAGAGGCTTGCAGCCCAAGCAGCTGTATGAATTTTTTGACGCATCTCTAGTGTTGTTTCTGTCATAAGAATTGATCTGTTGGAGGAATGCTGGCTGCTTCCTGTGTCTTGGCTTCTGTAGGGTTTATGCTAGAATTTATGCTTTGCTTTTACTCATGAGCGCAGTTTTGGACCAATTGCTATATTGTTCTTGAAACTAAGTTGTCATTACCCTTGGTTTATGTTGTTACATTTCAACCATCATTTATCAAGTACCTCATTGGATTTTGGTAACTACTGATTTAGGAGTAATTTTAAAGGTCAGTTAAGTTATTATTATAATAGTGTTATTGAAGTTCATTAGTTAACACATTCAATAGTTAACAGATTTTATAGATTAGGGTATCGCGTCAAAATGGGGACTTCTATCACATTTATTAGAAATGTATTTTCGAGTCCACATAATACTCCCCGAAAATGAATTTTCGAGTGTTAAAAGTGAAATTTTATGAAAAATTATAAAAAAGGAATTTTATTAAAATTACTTGTAAATAAATCTAATGAAAAAATTATTATTAAAGAAAGAATAATTTTTATGAGAATCTAATTAAATTAAAAATAAAAAAGTAAATATAATTTTTTTATAAATTAAAAATTTATTATTTTTTAATAAATATTTTATAATAATTTTAATTAAATTGAGTTATTCGGAGAAGTATATCTAATCTATTTATCATAATGGGTTTATTTAATTAGTATATTAAATTTGGACAAAAATATGTACTATTCAATAATATTATTGTCTCTTTATTTATAAGCATACAACATTGGTAAAATTTTTTTTAATTTTGAATTAGTTATAAATCTTTCAATATCTTTCTTATTGATTATTAAATTTGTACGAGACTAAAGACATGACAATAATAAATTTTTTTTTTTTTTTGTAATGCTATACAAAAAATTTTCAACAAGCATATAATCATCATATTCAAGAACATGCACCTCTAAAATCAAAATAATAAAAATAATTTTTTATTAATTTTTAATAATTTTTTTTATTATACTTGTTTACAAATGATTTTAATAATTTCAATTCTAATACTTTTAAATATGCATTTTTGAAAAGTGTGATGATTTTTATGAAATTTATATTTGAAAAACATTATAATTTCTCGAAAATGACAAATTTTCAAACTTGCAAGAAAGATATTTAAATAATTTTATTTATAAAAAACTTTAAAAACAAAAGTAAGAGTTTGTAGAGCAAAAAGGACGATGCATTCAGAACTCGCCGGTCAAAATTTTTTATATCTAAAAAATTTTGGAACATTTATGATGTTAACCTTTTGCATTATTAGATAAAGGGTCACTGACGTTTTTCGCACTTTGTTGGAGGTCTCAACGCTCCAATCCTTGGTTGCGTCTGCTTCTTTTAGGTCCTTTGAGCAAACATGAAAAATCCTTTTGCAGAGGTTGAAAGATGTTAAATCAGAATATTGGAAGAAGAAAATTAATAAAGAGAAAACCATTTTCCATCTTTTCCTCAGAAACAATGAAAGGTAAAATCTCTTTCCTCTACATACTTTTCCTTCCATTTTCCTTCTTACCAAACATAATGATAGATTTGTAGCGAAACCTTTGAATGGAGAATTTGAACTGATAAATGCAATTTAATCATTCTATCTGAATATTTTGAAGTCTTGCTTCCAATTTTGGGTTTAATTGTGTAAATAAAAGAGTGTATGTGGCAACCACTTTTATGAAATATAGTCCTTAAGCAAAGGTACTTCTCATCAAGAATCTCTACTGTGGTCTTTACCTTAAGAATTAGCGGATAATTGTTAAATATTAGGTCCAAACAGCTATTACAATGCTTTCAAACTCATCAAACATGCAAAGACAGTTTTTGAACCATGTTTAATGATTCAAACATCATTATGCTGGTGCAAAACCGAGCAGTTTCATTTACCTCCAAGCAGGCACTGTTTCAGTAGTTGCCATCACGGCAAAATAGAACAAAGCAACATACTGGCAAAATTTTGAACTAGTACTACTGTGTCTCAAAATTTCACGTCAGTTGTCCATGTACCTTGCACACTAGGGTGTTTAGTTACATGCCTTGTTTTCAATTTCACCACTTTTCTTCCCAAAGCATTCCTCAGCCTTGTAGCATGAAGAAGGATATCTTCTGGAGTCATGTTCTTCACACATATCACCCGCTCGTTTTTGTTCTCTGAAAAATTGGCATGAGGTATGACTCAAATTGTTGAAGTGCTTTGAGAGAAAACATGCGTGTTTGGAGACTAACATTTCAGAATAACGCATGCATTGGATACATTTATGTCTGAAGCACTCATCCAAGAAAGTAAGAGTAACTTACTGTAAAAGCCCTTCAAAAGTGGATGCTGTCCACGGATGAGTTCAGTAACCAACTCCAACTGAGGGTTTTTCTCTTTGAATGTTGGTAATTGCGACTCCATAAACGCCCTAGATAATAATGCAAAAATGTTAGCATGAAATTCAGACCAACTTTGAAGAATTCAGCAGCCATTTAAAGGAGAATTCATATCTGTACATGCTTCTCATTATTATTAATTATAAAAGTTTGATCTTGAGACTACCATGGCATATGAGTCCAAAAGCCAAGTGTTGGACAAACCATTCAATGTCCAAAATCCTAAAGTATCCAACTTATCACATTAGGTGCAGATGAAAGCCACATGAACCTAAATACTGGCATGAGATAAACGTATAGAAGCTGATTCATTCATTACCTTGCAAATTAGTCAGTCTAAGCAAACTCAAGTTGTTCAATAGTTTAATTTATACATAGATACGGCTCTCCACATCATGAAGATGGATGATACCTAAAATTGAAACATGACTCTTTGCACAACTCTTTGCCAAAATATCAAGAAAACATTTACAAAAAAGGTGTCTGCTTTACCATGCAGGCAAAGACAAGAATAACACATTGCAACGTTGATAATAGAAAAGTGAAACACAACACACTGAAATTCCTAAAAACCTACTTTGCTCTAGAGGTGTCAAGCAAATGTATCAAACCTGTATAAGCCAGAATGTAAAGAAGATAATTCTTACAGGTTTATAATCACAACACATTTCTTTCAACTTCATAAATAAAAGTTAAGTAGAAATAAGAAAGGTTAAATTCATACCTGATGCCCCTACTACTCCCTCCCCAATCACAATAGCTTACAATCAGCTTTTGAAGTTGCCAAACTCCTCTTAATGCCATCTGCATTTTCAAATACATCAGCCAATTATTTGTTTAACCCATTTTTCCAGGGAACATTGCTGTTAACACAAATGAATTAGACCCTTTGTTTATGCCAAAATTTTCCACAAAATTTACAATTCCACGCTTAGTAAAACTCACAATGAGTAAAATACAAAAGAAATAAATACACAATAATTCGAATCGCAGGCACACCTGTGTTTCTATATATTTCAGATTTCAATTGAAATTAAAGTTTCTGTAGTTAATCAGAAATTTGAAAAATGATGGTCTTCCTAAAAATTACTCACATATTTGAAGCAAAGACAAAAACTCAGTTGAAGTAATCCTAAAACCTGGAAAAATGAAAATTTTTAAGAAGATTAAAGATTTTCTCGGAAACCAAACAAGTTTGGAAAAGTGAAAAAAGAAAACATAATGATGGTGGATTTCAGTTATTGCTTCTTTTTCTGGGAATAGAAAACAAAGGGCAATAGAAGAAAAGAAAGAGATAAAGAGCGACTAACCTTGATTTCGCAAGGAGATTGTGAGAGCGCAGGAAGTGTTGAATTGGGAAGAGGGAATAAGTAGACCACTTCGAAACATACAAAAGAAGCCCAATAATTTGGGCTGAGACACTGGTTCTAATAAAAATTTAAAATTATTGGCCCATTTTGTTTAAATAACTTCGTTCTGTTCATCCCCAAAATTTTACCTTGTCTCAGCCTTTGTCGATTTAAGACATGACCACATCGCAAGAAAGCAATCTCGAATGTACGAAATTGGGTTCTTGCTTAGGAAAAGAAAGTTTTATAGGGGAAGTTTTTAAAATTTTTTATTGAAAATAAGAATATAAAAATTAAAATTAAAATTAATAGATTAAAAAATTTTATTATATAAACGAAACATGTAAAATTAAAAAAATAAGAATAAATTTTGATTTATTTATTAAATTAATATTTTAAATAAAAATATTAATAAAATTTTTATTTTTAAATAAATATCATTCAAATTTTAAATTATAAATAATTTTATAAATAATTTTTTTATAATTATTAATTTTTTTATTAAATTCTATCAATTTATTAATTTAAATTTTTTTATTAAAAGTTTTATCTATTCGTTTTTAATAAAAAAATTTACCAAATTTACCTAAGTTTTATCATGCTTATTTAATCTTGAAGATTTGAACTTCTAGTTTCCTCACTAAAATTCAAGTTTCAACATAGTTTCTGCGAACAAAAATGTTTAGGGCTTCATCGTGTGCACAAATTGGATCATTGCAAATTGGTGAAAAGAAAATTTTTTTTTTTTGGTGGAGGGAGTGTTTTAAACTTTTATATATAAAAATAAACTAGAAAAATGGTGGGCCAGTGGTTGAAGTGTAAGTCAACTACTGTCTGGTTGTAAGAGGTAATCTCTCAAAAACCGAAGACCCAGAAAGAGTTGTGTGGTTTCCTTCAGATTTTCTGCAAGTTTTTTCCTTTCTCGTTTCCATTTCCGAGTGATTGGCCTTGACCTTTTGCGCCCCCAATTACGCGTTTGATATTTTTCATCGGTCTCAAAGGGCTTCTATTGTTCTTAATTGCTCTTTCCCTATTTTCTCCATCTCCATTTCTCATCGACATGGTCAAATCAAAACTTCCCAACCGTTCCTTAAGCATCAAGTTCATTTGTGATCTTTATTTGTTTTCTTTATTTTCTGTACAGAGGAAAGCAAAGAAAACAAATGAAAATTCACCGCCATGGATGAGATTTTATCGAAGGTTTACACTTGAAGAGCTCCGTACTGCAACTGACAACTTCCGGTTGAAAATTGGCGAAGATGGTTTTTATAGTGTATACAAAGGTTTCATTAAAGACAGTTTTAAGGATACGGTTGCGATCAAGTGGTTTAAGGACGACTATTGCCTTTCGAAAGAGATGGCAGTGCTTTCAAATCGGCATCACCTCAATATCGTCTCTTTGATTGGTTACTGCCTTGACGGATCAGAATCAAATAAGTTTATTATATACGAGTATATGCCCCGTGGAAGCCTCCATGATCAACTTCACAGAAGAAACGACTCCCAGCCCCTACTATCTTGGAAAAAAAGGCTTGAAATATGCATTGGAGCTGCTCGTGGACTAGAGTTCCTGCATACAGGTAACCCCTTGATCATCCACAGGGACATCAAAACTCGCAACATTCTTCTAGACCAGAACTGGTTTGCAAAGATTTCGAATTTTGAGATCTCCAAATTGGTTCCAACGAGCTTGTCAGAATGGGACAGTCATGTCATCACCCGGGTTGCTGGCACTGTGGGATATATAGACCCTGAATATTTATTGACTGGCCATCTCACTGAGAAATCTGATGTTTATAGTTTTGGGGTTGTTTTATTTGAGGTGTTATCTGCTAGAAAGCCGCGGGAAATCGACATAGAGGAGGGACAAGGGAGAAGCCTAGTTCAATGGTGCAGAGAATGCGTGGAAGAGGGTAGGCTTGATGAAATTATTGATTCTCGCCTGAAGGATGAGATTGCTCCAGAGTGCTTGAAAGCGTACGCGGATATGGCGTATAAGTGCACAAACGAACGCAGAAATGAAAGGCCTACCATCGATGCTGTCGTGAAGAGGCTTCAGCTGACATTGTTGTTACAGGAGTGTATTGAAGCTGATGTACCTTTCTCACCTTCTTGGCTAAGATCGATTGTACCACCAACCAAGAGGACTGAGCCATTGGTCGAGATAGAGATCCAAGATTCGGAGTTATCTGAATCTGATTACGACTTTGAGGAACTTCTTCGCGATTGAAAAGTATCAATAATTGCCTGAAACGGTGAGACTGTCAACAATGCTGTCTAGATGAGACTATCGTACAACAGCTATATGATTAATTTACAAAGATTGGTAGTTTTTAATTTACAAAAATTAATGTATTTATATTTGTTTATTTCAAGTTTAACATGCTTAAAACACAAATTATTGTGTTAAAATCCAAATGTTACTTTTGGAACAAAGCCTGTGAGACACTAGCAACATATATTTACTATCAGAATCTCTCCTTTCATCCAAGAAAAATTCTTCACACTGTTGATTGCAAGTATCATTCAAAAAACATTATAGATCGCAGTAGATCAAATCTTGCTATTCAAAACATAGCATAACAATACAACAACAAAAATGCATAGATTTGATCACCTAAAAAACCATCTCATGCAACCAAAAAGTTCATGAAAGTTTTCCTCTAATGTTTCTTCATCATAAGCTCCCTCTAAAATATGCCGCGGTGCATGATGACGCTTCTTCTCCTGTATTCTTTACATATTGCTCCAGCAACATTACATTTGACATAAAAGAGTTATAGTAGCATTGCCTCCCTCATAACTTACCACAAACCTAATAGCAAATATAATTTTGAGGTCAATCATCTCTGTCCACCTATTCAGCTTCAAAAAGATATCTTCATTTGCCCATACTGGTGTTCCCGATTTGTAAGTGCAGAAAGAATGCAATCTATGTTATCCATCAACATGGCTTAAACTTCTCTTCCCCATCGCATTTAAGATTTCAGATTGAACCATCTGAAGTGGGCCTCCGCACAATGCAAGCAGTGCCCTATCTGCCTTCCTCAGAACAGAAAACAAAAAGTACAGTTGCCCTGAAGAGAACACAACCATTGACAAGCAAATATCATTTGTATTCGGCATCCTTTCAAATTATTTCTGCATTGTCACTGCATTTCCATGATCCTTCCCTGCCATTCTTTTAAACGTGCAAACCTATCACAACTGTTCAAACCACTCCCGTTTACCACCTTCATTGCCTTGAGAGGTATCCCTGAAAAATGTATGGTGCAGGAAAACAAAGCTAGCAACTAATTACTGGTAGCCAAATATTACTTATTTTTGAAAGAAGAAGAGAAGAAAAGCTGGGCTTATATCTGTTGTATTGGTGTGTATCTGAATACATTCTGAAAAATGAAACCCAGCAAAATGGTATATACCTTAACGAGGGAAGAACATGGGAGCATGCTATGAGAATAGATGTAGCAAAATCAACTGCTCCAGCATGGCATAAGAAAACAGGGCTGAATGGTACAATGGAAACATTAATTGCTACCACTAGCCACTGAGACTTGAAGTTGTATACATCAATTTCAGGATTTAATCACAGCTCCATATTACTGCATAACAAAAACAGGTCTGAATGGATGGTTGGAAACATTAATTGCTATTAGGCCACAAAAATTTGAAGCCAAATGCTTGAATTTCAGGATTTATATGAATTTTAGTAAAGATTACAATCAATAAACCAGTGGTGAAGTTTAAAAAGCTCCAAAAGCTGCCTTACATGATAGCCACTTTTCAACTTAAAGAATAATGTTAACTTAATAATTGAATATTGCTTTGCTTATTTATAGTTCAATGGACATATAGAAACTATATAATACAATAACCAGTATATAATACTGCCAGTATATAATACAATAACCCTTTTAGTAATGGTTACTAAGTGGTGTGTTAATGACAATTATCAATGTATGTTTACCTCCACTTACTCCAACTATTCTTTCCAACAATGTAGAGGATTATACATCCTCTACTGAGTCTACTCTGCTCAATAGAAAATCATAATTTGGGATGCAAAAAGGCTTCAACTAAAGATGCATCTTTGTAAAGGAGTGAGTGTAACAAGAGATTAAGTTTAAGTTGACAGACCTGCAGGTGATTTGCGAAAGATATAGTTGACATTTGGCTTCTTCAGCCTCTAATCTTCTTCACTAACAAACTCTCTAAGTTCTATCTCTACAAATGGGATATGTGCAATCTTGAACCAGTCCTTGCCATTCTTCATTTCCAGTTGTCATTGTAAAGCAGGACATCCTCTGATTACCAACCTTTGGAGATTGGTAAGATTATGTATGCCAGATGGTGCTGATTGCAACATTGGGCAACCCACAATAGTTAATTCTTGAAGAGAACAAAGGGACTGCAGAACAGAAATGTCGGTCAATTGTCCACACTCAATAACATCAAACCTCTGAAGGGCAGTCAGCAATCTCAGGCTCGAAGGCAATGACATCAATCTATCACAGTACAGAATGCTCAAATATTTAAGTGATGAGAATGTATGGTTGCCCTCAAATAGATAATCTAAATGATCACAGTCGTACAATGTCAGCTTCTCGATAGAGCAGGAACTTTTAAAGTACTCGGTTAAAGATTCAAGCTCCTTTAATTTTTCAACGACCAAAGAGGAAAGCAAAGGTAGATGAACTAATGAGCACAGTAGCATCTCATTGCTGTCACAAAGAGCTAAGCTTATAAGATTTGGAAAAACTGGCAAGGCAGTCAACCTATGACAACCTTTGACCACAAGTTTGTTAAGGCGAGGGAAAGCTTCATGCGATAAGGGACCAGAAGATCCTCCAACCACGGTGAAGATTTCTGTTTTCTCCATTTGTATACTTTTCCATCCCTCCAAGTTAGGCATATCATACATTTCAAGCTGTTCCAGGCAAGGGAATCCTCTAACAACACCATTCCCATAAAATTCATGGCCTATTGTCCGCACTTCAGGCATCGCTTTCAAATAGAGAACCTTAAGGAAAGGTAGCTGTCCAAGCGGTGGAAGTTCTTGACAACTGCAATTGATTAATGAAATCATCAGCAGATTCGGAAGACCCTGGTTCATCCATGTTGGAAACCTGGAACCTCTGTACCCTTTTAAACAAAAATACCTTAGGTTATGGGGTGGGCTCAGGTTTTCCAGTATTTTGGCCAACATTTGAGCGTTCATACAACCATTTTGACCCCATGATAATACCAATGAGTGAAGGCTTACTTTCTCAAACAGCTTTGCATCTCGTGCATCTGCCTCCTTTGTCACGTTCTCAAGATTCTTAATCTCTAGTCTCTCTTCAAGGTCCATCCCACTCAACTCATGTAATTTAGCGCTATCAGATCTCTTTCCCAGAACAAATGTTGGCAGCTTCTTAAGAAGCCTTAATTTACCAATCCCAGAGGGCAAATAAGTCAAAGAGCAGCATGATGAAATACTGAGATTTACAAGATTTGTCAACTGGGGGACAGTTTTGGGCAGCTCTTCAAGGTTGAAACAATCAGAGAGTTTCAACGTCTGCAGATACTTCAGGTTACTGATAGATTCTGGTATCTTTCTAATATATGTGCGAGATAGGTCAAAGTACCTCAAGTGTTTTAAAGCACCAAGAGTAACAGGCAACTCACGAATACCACTTTGGCTAAAGTCCAACACACGCAGGTGGCTAAGTCTAGAGAAAATTGTATCAGGGATACTGTCAAACTTACTCGATAATAAAAGCAAAGTCTGCAAATCTTCTGTTTTACTCAAATATCTTAGAGGTACTGAAGGCTCAGACTCCAATACCAGGGAGCAGTGGCGAAGTTCTGCAGAAACATTTTTGAAACTTTCAGTTCCCATAACTGAGCATGCAGTTGAATTAACAGTCAATGCAAAATCGTACACTAAATCATGCATTCTGCATGATATGTTCCCAGAATCATCTCTGACTATGTCTTCAAAATATAAGCACTGTGACAATTTCATAAAGCAGTCCTCCGCTATGTCATCAAGGCTTTCACTTGAGCCACTTGCTTGCAAAAAACCCTCAGCAGTCCACAATTGCATCAATTTCTCCTTTCTGATCCAAAATTCTCTTGGCAATATTGAACAATAAGCAAAGCACTGTTTCAGATTGGATGGTAAAAGATCATAACTGAGGTGCAGAACTGGTAAAATTTGGGAAGTGAAACTATACTTTTGCAGTTCCAGAAAAGCAAGAGCAGCAGCGGATAACCAATCATCCATTTCTCCATTATAGGGCAATAAGGCACCGAGTATCTTCACGGCAAGAGGCAAACCTTTACAGTTTGCAACAAGATTCTTGCTAATTTGTAACAATTCAGTGTCCTGTTTTTCCTCCTTTACTTCCCTGGGTAACAATGCAACCTTCCAAAACATATCCAAACAATCAGCACGACCCAAAGGTTGCAAGTAATACAAAGGCATGGAACCTACAGAATCAGCAGCAGCAGTTGAGCGAGTAGTGACTAGAACAGCAGATCCAGGAGAACCCACACTAAACCATTTTCTTACTGCGATCCATAGATCCATTTCCTCTTGCCAAAAATTATCAAGCACAATTAAAAATCTCTTCCCCCTCAGTTCCCTTCTAACACTATCCTCCAAGTCATCCAATCTCAAAAATTTCTGAGAGCAAATTGCTTCCCCAATCCTTTCAACATCAACACAATGATTATTGCCTAAAGAAACCCAATACTTGAACGTGAAAGTACGCATCACTTTCTCATGATTAAAAACCAGACGAGCAAGTGATGTTTTTCCCACTCCCCCTACGCCTACAATAGAGACCACCTGACAATCTTGCTCGCTCTTGGTTAATAATAAGCTAATTATCTTATCCCTGTCCAAATCCCTGCCCACAATCTCCGGCTCTAAACCCACAAAACTAGTTCCAGAATTCAATCGAGAAAAAAGATCTGGTCGCCAATTATTTTCCAAAGGCCAATCGCCTTTGCTGGCGAGTGTGGTCAACTTCCCGAGCACATGCTCTATCGGTCGCCGGTTTTCATTTCTAGTTAGGAAACAAAAACAGCGGCTAATTAAGTTTTGATCCATTACCTTGCGCAATTGCTGCTCATAGTCATCCAACAGATAATCCAATTCGTGACCCACACGTTTGACTTCAGTCAACCAACCCTTGATTTCTTCCGCCATCTGGAACCGCTGCTCCGCCACTGCAGCTAAGTCTTTGACTGCTGCCACAGCGCTTTGCAACCTGGTCAGCATCTCGTCGCCGTCGCCAAATGAAAGGCAAAAGGAATTCAATCTGTTGAGAATTGATTGGAGGAGTGGAGACGCAATAGTGTCCGCCATTAAACCGTCTCAAAAATTAAAGTTGAATCCCCTCAATGAAGCAAACTTTTGATTTTCAAGTCGAACGAACTCTGCTTCGTCTTTACTCAGCCAGGCCAAAAGGCGTTTGTCTCATATTCAAAAATAAAATAAAATTATGAATGTACTAAAATACCCTTCCTCTTAAACTAACTAAGCACGAATTTTTGCTGCAATTAAACTCTTCTTCTTGGTCAGAACCGTCAAACCACTAATGTATTTTAAAGTCAATTATTGCGTGGATCAATTATTCGTGCCGGCCGCCATAACAATACGCCTTGGAATTTTAGCCCTTCACGTGACTCTGTTTTCACCTACTTTGCAGATTGCAGTGGCAGGTGGTTGTTTCCGGCGTAGGGTTAAAACGCTGTGGTTAGTTCAGACTTCCAGGATCTATTATTTCGTTTCTTTTTCATTTCTAAATTGGTGAATTTAAATTCAAATTTAGTTGCTTCAAGTTTGACTGTGATTTTGATGTATTATTTTCAGATTTTTTGTCGGATTCTTTTCCCGTGGATGCAAATCAGATTTATTTGAAGCTTTTCTCGTTCAGTAACTCAAGGAAGATAATTTGGAGGTATCAGCTATAAATGATAAAAAATTTTCTGCTTGTTATAATATTCTCTAAGCATTTACTTTTATATGTTCTAAATGTGTAAATTTGAAATGAAATTATTTAAATAATTGAACTTTATTTAGGGTTTTGCTGAATGATGAACTTTATAAGTTTTGGGAACTCTTGTTTTTCTGGAAATTTTCTGATCTTCTATAGAACTAGAAAACAAAGGTTTTTAAAATTATATACACTATTAAAGTTCAAATTAGTGCTTTAGGGTTTATATGATTGATGGCGGTCTAAAGTAGTAAAGCCAAGATAGAGAAGATGAAACATTTTCTGAAACCAAACAAGCTCTCTAAGGGTAGGTGTAAATTATGTTAGGTTTTGTTTGATACTAGAATTTATGGCTTTATATGCATCTAATTTGTTGGTCTATTATGCAGGCGGGATGGATTTCAGACAGGATAGCCCTCTTTCACATGCGGTTTCCTGGTGTAAGAAAGTTGCATGTGTGAAACGCAGGGAAAGGATTTATCCATCACTTATACCGAAGACTGAACATTTGTTTGATCTAAGAGATTCTGTGAAGGAAGAAATGATCAAAGAATTAATGGTTGGGACAACACGAACTAAGGAATGTCGAGAATGGCTGATCAAGGTGAGAGAGTTTGAAATTCGTGCAAACGAATTACTAAAGTTTCATGAGAAGACTTCAGACAATTTGAGGTTTTCCTTGAAACTACCACATGCTGATTTGGTGAATACACTTGATGGAATTACCCATTTGCTGGAGAGTTGTCCATTGGTAGGAGCAACTAAAACAATTAGTTGTTCAATGATTGAGGGCAAGAGCTTTGGACCTGCACCTGCTGAAAGAACTGCAAATGCCTACTTGTGGAGGAAAACTGGAGCTAAAGCTGAGGCATATTTAGAAACCGAAACATGTCATGCCATGGGAAAGGAAGCTGAAAATAGGGAAAAGATACTCCCTGATAAATATGTTGAGAATGAAACCTTAATGGCATCATCATCTATAAAACCTGTAGGAGGTCAGCCATTTGTATCAGTGGAATCTCAGGTGATCAACGAAGCAGAATCAATTACAACAATTGGAACAGTAGTTGACATGCCATCTGCCATAGCTGGTTCTTGGTTGGTTATTGAGAAAGCATCTGCAGAGTCTTTGTTGCCGTCAGAGCAGATCGCTTCATCTAGCCTAGACCCCATCACAAAGCATGAGATGGTATCTTCTTCACTAAATGACTACTTAACAGGACATGAATCTGAGATTGAGCTTATTTCTTTTGAAGAAGAAATAAAACCATCTTTGTCACCCAAAATTCTTCGGACCATGCTTGATGAAATTGAAGAAATTCCATCCAGTCATGAAACAGAATCAGAGACTGGTTCACAAGAAGCAAGCCAAATTTCTGAATTAATAGTAAATGTCAAACAATCTGTTGAACCTACTATTGAAGTGGGAGCATCCACCTCTCACCAAAGCAGTATAGCCCCAGTAGAACCAGTTGCAATAACATCTTTAAGAAAAGATGAAATCCCACTTACTGATGAAATGAAGACTAAGGATCCTTGTCAAACAGAAGACAGACAGGGTTTCTATGAAACAGAAGTAGCTGCCAAAACAACTGTTGGGCGCAATGTGTTCAAGATCTTGGAGCTTTTGAAGGATGATAGAGTCAGAAAAATCGGTGTTTATGGCATTGGAGGGGTTGGCAAGACTACTGTGCTGAAAGCCTTGATCAATTATCCCAAGACAAAAGACATGTTTGATTTGATCATTTGGGTGACTGTATCAAAATATTGGAGTATAAGAAAGATACAAGATGAAGTTTTAAGGCAATTATCCACACAAGATGAGGTTTTAGGGGAATTACAATCACCTCTTTCCAAGAGCGACTCTGAAATTCGAGAAGAATTGTTCCATTATTTGGAAGGCAAGAAGTTTTTGCTTCTTTTGGATGATGTCTGGAAGAGAATGGATTTAGAGGCACTTGGCATACCAGATCCTAGCTTGGGTAATGGTTGTGCAATGATAATGGCAACTAGAAAATTGAAGGTTTGTGATGACATGCATTTGACTAATGTGATTGAAGTGGGAAATGTCTCTAAGGAAGAAGCTTGGGAATTGTTTCGTGAACAAGTAGGTGGCATTGTTGATGCACCAGATATACAGGACTTTGCTCAAGGTATTGTTGAGAGGTGTGGAGGTCTGCCTCTGCTGGTTATTGTAACTGGAAGAGCTCTGTCAGGGGAAGAAGATGTCGTTGCATGGGAGCAAGCATTCAGGCAATTTTCAGGCCCTTGTAGAGATGTGAGAGATTGTAATGACATAATCCGAATGCTAAAATTCAGCTTTGACCGATTGAAGGTTCATGATTTACAGAGTTGCTTCCTTCATTGTGCTTTATTTTCTGAAGAGCAAGAGGTTAATATTTCTGAATTTGTGAAATATTCTATCCAAGAAGGTTTGATTGAGGGGATTATGGCTGATGCATATAAGAGGGGCCATGCTATAGTCGCTGTTCTTGTACGTGCCTCATTGTTAGAAAGTATTAACGATCATGCCATAAAAATGCATGACATGATGAGAGATTTAGCACTGGCAATCTTGTCACAGGAAGAAGGTAATCGGTTTCTTTTGAGAGCTTACTCAAAACCATTGAACCTAGAAAATCATTCATTGCTTGGACCTCATGAAAGCCCCGAGAGCAATAGATTGTTTTTTCCTGGTGGTTATCAATTCATATTGAGAGCTGGTTCAGGTCTGACCGAGCCACCTTCAGTGGAGGAATGGGACAAATTTAAGATGATCTTTCTGATGGACAACAAGTTGTCCACTTTGCCCGAGAGACCAAGTTGCCCTGGACTCCTGACATTGTTTCTTCAAAGGAATTTCAGGTTGAGAGTGATACCCATGTCCTTTTTTGACTGCATGCCTTGCTTGAAAGTGTTGAATTTATCAAAGACCAGAATAAAATGTTTGCCGAAAACAATTTCTAACCTTTTAAGCCTTGAAACTCTCATTCTTTGTCATTGTGAACGCCTAGCTATGCTTCCCTCTGAAATTGGATCCCTCAAACTTCTTCAGATACTTGATCTTAGAGGCACCGAGATCAACACTTTACCTGATGAGATTGGTGGACTAGTCTCTTTGAAATACTTGGATGTATGCTTCTATGGATCTATCAACCGCAGTGAGTACGCTAATTTGCCTCATGGATTGATTTCTAGTGGGATAATATCTGGGCTCCATGCATTGGAATCACTAGGGATTAATGTGTGCCCAGGAGATGAGCGGTGGGACAAGTGTGTCAAATCTATCACTTACGAGGTGAGCAAATTGACAAAGTTAACTTCTCTCTCTTTTTCTTTCCCTGAAGTGGAGCTTCTTGAACTGTTCCTCTTAAGTGTAGCATGGATTGATCAGAGCTTAACTGAGTATAAAATTGTGGTTGGCCATGACATCAAGCGTATTGTGTCACGTGTCCCACATTATGTGGAGCTTGAGTATGGTCTAATGGGCCAATGCCTGAGATTTGTTAATGGTAGGAAGATACCCGATGCAATTGTCAAAGTCCTTGCCCGTTGTTCTGCTTTCTATTTAGATCATCACCTGGACATAAGCAGCATATCAAAATTTGGGATTGGAAACATCAATAAGTTGAAATACTGCATAGTAAGTGAATGTCCTGCAGTTAAAGCTATTGTGGATAATGAGGAATTTACTGAGGTCGTATTTCCATGCCTGGAGCACTTAAATATCCACTATTTGTGGAATTTGGAATCCATCTGGGTGGGTGTTGTTCCTGAAGGAAGTTTTGCTATGCTACGAACTTTGCATGTGCATGCATGTCCAAAGTTGAAATATGTCTTGAGAAACTCCATGCTTCAATTCATCACAAACTTAGAGGAGTTGATAGTGGATGATTGTGCAGCAATTGAGAAAATTATAGTTGATGATATGACTGTTGAATCGAGTCACATTTCTCACTTCAATTTCAAGACATTAACTCTTCACTACCTTCCTGTGTTAGATAACATTTGGGAAGGTGCCTGGCCCTTGTTTGAGTATATCAATGTATACAATTGCCCTAATATTAAGAAGATCAATTTAGATTCAGAGTTGAAACGCACTCTGAAGGAGATTAAAGGTGAGAAGGATTGGTGGGATGCATTAGAATGGAAGGAACCTGCTCTTCGCATGCATTTTGACGACCGTTTTACTCCAGTTAGTGAGGATGATCTATAAGAGGAGATGTTATCAATGATGTCTTCTTTATCACTCAAGGCTTTGGAAGTTTGATGATTTAGTGATGCGTAAGAAGCAAGAGCTTTTACTGACAAACTACAAATTGAGGCTGAACAGGTGTTGTCTAATTTTCCTTTGTCTTTTCCTGGATTATGAAGCATGAGCATTGTAATTTGTCATATATCCAATGATTTTTTTTTTTTTTTAATTTGATTCAAATGTGCTTGTATAGGAGCTGATATCACTTGGCAGTGCATCTAACTGTAGGAGTTGACTGCTCTGAAATTCGTCAACACAGATGAATGCTGCTGTCATCTAACATGTTACTTAGCGCTTGCTTCTCATTTAAATCGTGGTTGGCACAGTGTTTAGCATGCTGTTACTGTCTTTCCCAATGGAATTCACGAATCAAAATTATTGATGGTGCTCCTTTTTTTTGTCACTTAAAGGAGCAAGATTTTGAAATTCTTGCCTGCAAAGAGATTCCAGTGATGAATCAGCTCCTCACACCGGCAGGCAGACAGAAAGGTGAAAATGGCCGTCCATCGACCACTATGGCCAAAAGAAACCGTCAGAAATAGCTCTTTCTGGAACAATCTCCTTAAAACTGAAACTATTATTCTAGGGAAAGAATTGCGCCATGAAATCCTAGAAAAGGACATTTTGTCATAAACATTAGGTGTACTGGAATCCTAGAAAGGATATAGTGTCAGAAACTTGTGTTGAAGCTTGAATCTAGGTTATGAGGACATTGTTATGGAAACTTTCTCAATTTCTATGATTATTTGGTTTTCATGTAGAGTTTGATGTAAATTTAGATGAACCCACCTTAAGGAACATTCTTTTCAAGAACATTTTCACTTCACTTTGGATCACTTGTCGCTACTCATTTCTTGTTCCTTGGCAATTGTTAACATCATTCTCCTTTTCCAAACAAATAGGTGTATGGGAAATTTAGCCAGGAATTTAAACAAATAGATCATTCTCTCATTGATAAACTATCGTTCTTTAAGTTGGCTTCTTTGATATGAACATTTCAAGTGGAATAAATCCAAACCTTTTGACATCTCCACTTCGTCGAAGCTTTTCCTATTTGTGCAACGTCTGGTTGAAATTTGTTGTGGTGTCTACTTTACAATAACATATTCCACTGAATTTTTAAAGACAAGTTACAAAATTAATAGATTTGAAATATTTTTTAAAAAATCGTGAATAGAAAGATTCAAATTTAAAATTCATAAAAAATAAAAATATTGTAAAAAAGAAATTAATTGATTTGAAATATCATTTAAAAATCATGATTAAGAATTAAATTTAAAAATCTTGAATGAAAAATAAAATATTACAAAAATAAATAAATAAATAAATGATTGATGGACTCCACTCAAGTTTCTGCTTAGCTGAAAATAACCCCCCATTGAAGACCCCATTTTTTCGAAACATTATTCTAACACTTTTGGGGAATTAAAAAAAAAAAGAATTTATAAAATATTGCATGTCTGTACAACATCCATAATATAAATCTTGCTCTGCATGGAGCATGGGAATTTTCATTAGGAGTGTCACGAGCCACTCTCCCATTTTTTTAAAAATTTTTTTAAATTTCTTTCAGATTTTTAAAAGTTTTTATAAATATTAGATTTTTTATCTTTTTTTTGTTTTTTTTTATATATTTAATTACTTTTTCTAAAAATAACAAAAAATTAAAAAAAATTTCTAAAAGATTTTATGTTTTTTTTTGTGAGATCCACTTATGCCAAACTTTTTTTTTTCCTTTTTCATCATTCTTTTACTATTCTTTTTTCTTTAAAATTAATAAATTTTTATTTAGATTTTATTTTATTTTTTTGTGTTGAACTTAATACTAAGTGTACGCCACATGTTCATTTTTTTTCTTTTTTTTTTTTTACTTTTCTCATTTTTAATTTTTTATATATGTAATAAATATTTTCCAATTTTTTTGTGAAATTCTTTTTTTCTTCTTTTATATTTAACTAATTTATTAAAAAATTAAAAAATTAAAATAATTTTAATGATGCTACTTTTTTGTGCGTGAGATTCACTTATACCAAACTTATTTTTTTGCTATTTTTACCTTTCTTGTCTTTTTTATTGTACAAAATTTAATATTTTTTATAAATTTTTTGTGAGACCAATTAGATATCAAAAGTTCGTCACCTATTTTTTTTATTTTTTTTATTTATATTTTTAATAAATATTTTATAATTTTTAATTTTTTTGTGCAATCCATTTGACATCAAAGATATTTTACGTGGCCATTTGAATCCTTGTTTTCATTTTTTAATATTTTTATGTACTTTTTTTTTTTTTATATTTAATAAATATTTTAAAATTTTTTTCATGTTGGTCCATCCTATATATTAATTTTGTTAATTTTGACTCTCCAAAGGACCTTTCACGTGGTAACCCCTTTGTCCTCCTTTTTTTTTTCCTTTCTACTTTTAATTTTTTTTCCTTTACATAACTAATAGATTATCTTATTTCAAAAAAATTCTTGTGAATCTATTTGATATTATTGATTAAAATTTTTTAATTTATTTTTTAATTAAATAATTTTAAAAGAAAAATATATCAATAAAAGGTGTCAACGTATCTAGATTTTTTTTTTCAAAAATTTATACATTAAATTTGGTAAAAAATGAGATCAATGGAAGTGTCTGTATAGTATCCTATTTTTTTTTATTTTACTTTTTTTTTTTTGCCATTCCTTTAGTTTTTTTATTTTTTTAAAAATTAGATAACTTTTGTACAAAAAAATTCAATAGAAGTAAAAATGATAAAATAATTAATTTTTAATGGGTTTTAACTCGCGTTGATCCGATAGATTTTTTTTAAATTGAAATTTGGTCGAGGTTGATGAGATTTTTTTTTTTTTATGAAAATCATGGTTGAGTTGAAGGTAAATTTAGAATGTTTCACTTTGGGATACATATAAACATATATATATATATATTATTCAATCATTTTTGCATTAATATTTATTTATTATATTAATAAATTTATCTATCCATACTATTATTTTTGCTCTTGTTGACCTTTAGTTGACCATTATTTAAGGTATCTACGTGTCACTTTATGGTTAATGTGTCACTTTATGATTTTTTTTTTATCTTTTTAATTTTTAATTAAATAAATTTTGTGAAAAAATATTAATAAAAGTGTACATGTGACACCTCAATTTAGTTTTTTTCTTATTATTTTATTTTATTTTTATTTTTAATTAGATAAATTTTGTGAAAAAAAAGCTAATGAAGGTGTTCACCTAGCACATCAATTTAATTTTTTCATTCATTCTTTTTTAAGATAAATTTTATAACAAAAGAAATTGGTTGATAAGGATGTAAAACAATTTGAATTCAAAGAGTTTTGATCAATCTTGATTCGATAGGGAATCAACTTTTTTAAATTAAGTTTTTAAAAAACAAATGGAGTAGATCGATGATGAATTAATAGTATTTTGTATTGACCCACTTTGGATAATATAAAAGTATATATTTTATTGTTTATGTAATTGCATATATATTTATAATATTAATTAAGTTATTATTTGATATTTTAATTTAAGATATTAATTTAATAAATATATTATATTTATATATAATTAAGATGTAATTTATATTAAAAAATAATTTTTTATAAACATTATCCATACAATAAAAAATTATAGAATGAAGTGTACACATGACATCCTCATCCATACATTAAAAATTCTAAAATTTTGAGCAATGGAATGTGCACTTGGCACCTCGTTAAGTATCCTTTTGTTTTATTTTCCCTTTTTTTCTAAGCATTTTTTATAATTTTAGTTAAATATTTTTTGTGAACGAAGAATGAAATATTCATCTGGCCCTAGTTTTTTTTTCCTTTTTTATATATTTTTTTGTCTTTTCACTTTCACTTTCTTTTTTTCTTTTTTTTTTACTTTTCTGTTATTTATTTTTTTAATTAGATGAATTTTGTTAGAAAATAATATAAATAGAAATGTCCACGTAGCACTCCCATGTATTTATTTTTCTTCTTTCGTATATTTTTGTTTTATTTTTGTTTTTTCATATGAAAAATTTTATTTCAAAATGAATCATTCGAGAGGGATAACAAAACAATTAGTATCTAAAAAATTTCGATTCCTCTCAATTTCAATATGAGTATTTTTTAAATCAAAATTGAGTCAGGACAAATTAGATTTTATTAAAAAAATGGGGTTGAGTTGAAATTGGGTTTAAGTTACTTTATCTGAGCCACTTCAAGGTATATATATAAAATATATCTTATTATTTATTTATTTATATATATGTATTATATTAATAAAATTATTATTTGATATTTTAATAAAGTTATTATTTGATACACCTCAATCTCTTTTTTTTTTCCTCCTTTTATATTTTTTACTTTTTTTCTTCTCTCTATATTTAGCAAATAATATTTTTTACATTCAAAGTGAGACTCATTTGATATTATTGATTAAATTTTTTGTTTGTTTTTGTTTTTTTAACCATTAGATAGTTTTGTAAAAGTGCAAGCCAAATAAAATGTTCATGTAACACTTAGATTTTATTTTTTAAAAAAATTTGTTTAAAATTAGAAAATTTTTTGATTAAATAAATTTTAAAACAAAATAAGCCAATTAATAAAGATAAAAAAAATTAATATTTGATAACTTTTGATCAGTTCTAATTAAATATAAGTGTTTTTATTAAAATTAGTATTAGATCAAGTTGCATCAATTTTTTTTTAAAGCGAAATAGTGTTGGGTCAGAAGTGAATTTAGAATGCCTTGTGTTAGGCCTTACTGTGGTATATTTAAAAGTATATATTTTAGTATTTGTTAAATTTTATATTTTTATATATGTATTAGTATATTTAAAAGTATATATTTTAGCATTTGTTGAATTTTATATTTTTATATATGTATTATATTAATAAAGTTATTATTGAATATGTTAATTTAAAAAATTAATATTGTAAATTCAATTGAAATTTTTACGTGGCATCGTAATGATCTTTTTTTTTTTTTTTTTCAATTTTTTATTAATAAAGTTGTTATTTATACCTTAATTTAAGATATTAACATTTAAAGTTTAATTAGAATGTCCAAGTGATATCCCGATAAGCTCCATTTTTAATTTATTTTTTAATTAAATTATTTTTATGAAAAAAATAGAAAGCCAATGGAAGTGCTCATGTGGCACTCCCATTTGGCCTTTTTTTTTTTTTTCCTCTTTTACCTTTTTTAATATTTTTTAATTAGATAAATTTTATAACAAATGTGTAGATTGATAAAAATAGTAAAATAATCTATATTTGACAAGTTTTGATTCACTTTGATTAGATAGGAGTCAATTTTTTTTTTTAAATCAAGATTGAGATGGGACAAGTAATTTTTTTTTTTAAAGAAATGAAATTGGGTCTAAAACTAAGAGTGCTTTACCTCAACGTATTTTGAGATATATATATATATATATAAATATATATTTTATTATTAATTTAATATTATATTTATATATAGATTAATAAAGATTATGTAATATCTTAATTTTTAAAATTAATATTGTAAGTTCAATGAAAATATTCACGTGCCAACAACTATGTGATCTATTGATAGAGTACTAGACTTTTAATTCAAATGATAAGGGTTTAAATCCTTGCAACCTCAAGTGATTTCCTTTTCTTTTTTTTCCTTTTCAATTTTTTGATTTTTATTTTTTTAATTAAATAGTTTTTTTGTTTGTTTTTTCGTTTTTCACTTTTTTCGATTTTTTGGATTTTCAACTATGACTAATTTCTTGCTATCTAAATAGGGGTCAAAACTACTTGAAAATAGGCAAGGTGCACCTTGAATTGAAATCCACAAATTATTGTCAAAGAGATTTTTCTAGATTGATAGATATAAATGAGGGAGTTCCCCTTTCTTATTGATATATTCCTTCTCTTTTGATTTATCAAAACAGATGAAGCGATCTATCAATCAATTTGAAAATAGCACGTTCGTATAGCTTTTTGTTCTTTTTTGCCATGCCAACATAACCGCTATAATAATAAACAATTTTATTTTTGTTTTTCCATTTTTTTTTCTTTTCATATTTTTAAAATTTTTTGAATTAAATAAATTTTGTGAAGAAATGAGGTTGTTGAAAGTGCCCACATGTCACTTTCATTTGGTTTTTTAAAATTTGTCTTTTTTATTTTTAATTAAATAAATTTTATAATAAATTTAAAAAATGACTAATAAGATGATAAAATAAAAAATTTAATTCATGGCATCGCATGGGTAATCAATCTAATAGTAATTAATTTACCACTAAAAGGATTCTTTCCTAAGGTTAATGATCTTCTATCTTGGTTTATCCTTATGTGTTGGATGGCCTGTCCACAAACTATCTCATCTTTATTTCTTCTTATTGATGATGAAACATTAATATTTAATGAAAAAGCAAAGACCAAACTTTTGATGATTGCCCATTTCCTTGAATTTTTTTTTTTGGGGGGGTAAATGACAATTTTATTTATTCAGAAAGAAAACCCTACTACCAATAAGTTAAAAAGACTTTCATCAATCATAGCTATGCGATATGTACAAGTAAAAAATTATAAATATTTTAATTTTGACATATACTTTTATTCACAGTATTACCCACTTAGAATCAAATTATACAATGAAAAACAGATAATCTTTTAAATATAATAAAATACGTCTTTAATAGTTTGTCTCTAATACCTATATTCTTTGATGTTACGTTGCATCTATATAAAATAAATGTGAGCACTCCATTTCCTTGATTTTTTTTTTTCTTTTTAAGTGAAGTAGGGGAAAGAAGACCACTAATTTGCAAGTTTCTGACCATTATTTTGGCAGCAGACAGACAGAGACAACCCCAACAAATTATGATTGACATTGTGAGCATTGTATCTTCATAAATGGATTTGTATTCCTAAATTCCTGCAATGGGGAAAGACAGAAGAATAGTTGTAGGGAAAAAATCAACGAATTTGGCTGTCATTTCTATAATCAGATTAAACCACACAATTCTATTGTTGCCTGTACGACTGACATTAATTAATAACTTTGAAAGCATGGATGCCAACCAAGAATGTTGATGGATCCTAGACTAACAGTAATAACAGAATTTATTATTGTAATTAAATGTGGGATCTGGCAAGAAGCGACATGCTTTGCTGATGTCTGATGGTATATGTTTCCAACAATGGCAACTTCATTAGGATGGGCTCCCAAAGCAGGAAGATCAGCTCCCTGCGGTCTCGCATAACATCAAATTTTGGAGTAAATTGGTGAACGTAAAACAATGATGATGGCCAATACCCTACGTTGGGGATTAAATGGCAGCAATTCAGTATTTGGCTGTGTTGACAGTCATATAATCACCCGACAAGAGTCACATGCTACGCGAATTCACGTGTGCATGTGTATGAATGCTTGCTGTTTCCAAATGATGAATCTAATCTGGCACCTGCTCTTTTGATCCATTGACAAGCGGCATCCTATGCCAGTCTTTCATTCATTAAATAGTTGACGCATGGTTCTCTATCTATTTTCCTATACCACTTGCATAAAATATTGCAGAACCACCCCAAACAATGAATGGCATTAGACTTCTAGTTAATTGTTATTTAAGCAACTCTTTTATTTACTTTTACCTTCACATTTATTTCTTTTTACCTTCACATTTATTTCTAACACTAGGAAATAAATCCATACTGAACATTCAACATGAAAAGAGGAGATCTCGTCAAAACCACATGGCTGGCAAAACATGAATTGGGGGAAGACCAACCTTTAAAAATGATCATTTTCGTGAATGTGATGGAAAAATCCATTTTAATATCGCCTCCAAATATCTGCAACTAACAAAGGCAAAAGGCCTCCCAACATGTCCAAATCATTCTCATTTCAACATCGGTCCGAATGCTTGTAAGAAAATGCAAAAATGCTTTAAAATATTTTGATACCATTCGAACTGACTATTCAGTTAAAATTAATCTCACATTTGTAAACATGAATACTACCAATATTTGCCCCAACATAGAGGGTTGAATGACAACTGTAAAACTCTCTTTTGACAAAATCAATTGATACCAAAAACTTTGACATCTCTCACTGCAGGGATTACCGTAAACATAGTAGATCAAAGCACAAGTGTCATATTTCAGCAGGTTTAACTCCCTAAGTTGCTGGAGCTGCTAAAACCATCAAATCACATCAAGTGTTACGCCACAAATTAAATGTATGATAATTGAAAATTAATCAGACAAATCCAACATGATTACAAGTCAAGAACTGAACAAAATAAAAGCAGTTTTGCAGATATTGCATGTGCATTACTTGTAGAATATTATATGCTGTTTTTCAAGCCAAACATGAAATTGAAATCGAATTAATTACCTTTAGCAGATGGTTCATCCTGAGGTTTCATGGCTGGGAAGAGAAGAACCTCCTGTTTGAATAGGATGCAAGAGATTTTGAGTGACCAATAAAAAGTCAACTACGGAATCTCATACAGCATTTTCCCAAAAAAAAAAAAAAACTCATGGAGTAGGCATGAGTGACTGGGTACACAAACACAGACAAAGATAAGAGAGAGAGAGAGAGAGAGAGAGAGAGAGAGAGAGATAGGGAACCTTGATATTCTGTGAATCTGTTAATAACATAGCTAGCCGATCAATACCCATTCCCCAACCACCAGTTGGTGGCAATCCATACTCGAGTGCAGTACAGAATGTTTCATCCAAAGCCATTGCTTCATCATCACCTGATTGCCGGTCCTGATATTCCAACACAATCTCTAAGAGAAAAAGTCCCTATGTAATCTAATTAATGTTGACACTACTGAAAAACAATTATAACAGTGTTTGATACCTTCAGTTGTTCGGCAAAACGTTGACGTTGTACAACTGGATCATTCAACTCAGTGTATGCATTGCAAAGCTGAGTATTTAGAAAGTAACAAAATGCGTAAGCCTAAGTAAATAGGAGAGAAGGAAAACAAACGTGCTGATGTTGAATAAACCTACTTCATGTTTGTTGATGAACAGTTCAAAACGTTCAGTCAGCCCCGGTTTTGACCTATGCCACTTTGCCAAAGGACTCATTATTTCAGGATGGTTGATGATGAAAGTAGGATTCACACACGTCTCTTCTAGAAAATGCCCCACAAGCTGCAATCAAAGAAAATAAAAATGAAGAAAACTTTTATTAGAAACATGCATAGGCCCCCGTGTCACCATGTTCTGATGGTTCACAAACCCAATCAAAATATCCAAATATCACCATGCAGTCCCACAAAAAGTGCATAAACGCAAAGAAGCTAAAACCTGGTTCACAAGAATCAAATTAGACATAAATACAATCTCAATGTGAACAAATGAAGGGGAAGGGAACTGAGATTCTCATTAAGTAATTAATCAGGTATAAGGCGGGGAAACCACTGTAGGTTCTGGTTGCCTAAGCAGCAGACAGCCACATGTCCAATAAGGCAACATAAACACTCATGGAGTTAAAGTTACAATTCTTACTGTTCTATGTATTGCCATGGTATGACTCAGCCAGCAATATAATACAGAAGTCCAACCAATGATTAAATAGAGACCAGAAAATATCACATCAAAAGAAACTTCCCTTTGATCCTTTAAGTCAAGACAGTTTCTGTTCTCTTGCATTTACCTTTCATTTCAATTTAACGGAAAAAAAAAACCAGTTGACAGATTAGGGACCATCCTGCTCAGTAAGCTAGCAAAAGATTAGCAATCGGACCCTGGAACTATCTCAAAGATGGACATTAGATGGTGTGTACCCTCCAGATTGCATAAAGCTTATTAGTTATTACTAAATGAAAAGCCTATGGAGTACCTTGATTCACATAACAAATATTCAAAGAGAAAGAGGAAAGAGGCAAGATGGAAGACATACTTTATCCAACAAACGTGCTGTTGTTTGAGGAGGAGGGCATTTGATCTCAAACTTTGCACATGCATCCACCAAATACTTGTTAGCTTCATTGCTGGAAAAGTCCTTGGGTATGTTGAGGTTAGCCATCTTCTCTAACTCCTCTACCATGTCAATCCTCCTGTAAAAATAGTGATAAAGCAAAAGTCACTTCCAAGGCTGTTTTTAAGTTTTGTTCACATCACCAGTAAAGGCAATCAATGAACCTGAAAGGCGGAGTGAAATCAATCTCAATTGGATCATTATCAAGGCCATTTGCGTGATACTTAATTTTATAGCTGCCTGTAAGTTCCTTAACCATCCCTGTTGCAGATTAATGAAGTCAGAAAAATCCAACAAATTTGGAAATGATAAAATGAGACGAAAACAACAAGCAGAAAGGTATCTTCAAATGTCAAGCCATTTTTGTTACTTACCACTCAACATTTTTTCAGTGAGCTCCATCAAGTCATTATAGTCTGCAAAAGCCATATAGAACTCACAGGTAGTAAATTCAGGATTGTGAGTCAAATCAATACCCTCATTTCTAAATTGTTTTCCAATTTCATAAACACGATCCAGCCCACCAACTACCAGCTCCTTCAGATATAACTCAGGTGCAATACGCATGTAGAGCTTCATGTTTAATTCATTGTGATAGGTTACAAATGGACGGGCAGCTGCACCTCCAGCAATCATGTTCATCATGGGAGTTTCAACCTGATGATGAAATTTTGACATTAATGAAAGTGCCATTAAAGAAGAAATAAAGAAATAACTGATAGTTGATATACTGGACGGATGACTAACCTCCAAGAAATCAAGATTGTCGAGAAAGCTCCTTACATAAGAAATGATCTTAGATCTTGTCTTGAATATTTGACGAACCTCCAGATTTAACATCAAATCAAGATAGCGTTGGCGATATCGAGTTTCCTATCATGGAAAATAAACATGCATTAGCTGGCATCTTAAGTGACGGATGCCAAAATCTGCTAAGGCTCTGACATAGTTGACGGGCAGGAAACCGTTAGAATTTCAGCATATCCAGTAAAGTTTGTATAATTAAATATGAAATAGTACCTGATCCTTCAAAATATATGTTTCAGGATTCCTGGTACTTCCTGGGACCCATATGTCAGTTTTCTGAGAATAAATGAGAAAATATCGTTATCATCAAAAGATCATAACAAAAATCAGACAGTCACACCATGCACTTGTTTACCTTGACACTGGCATCAGGACCTGCTTTTTGCCTCGGCATCATATGGAGACAATGGGATAAAACCATGAATGATTTTGGAAAGATGCTTAACTCCCCTCTCTTAGTTTTGCCTAAAAGAAGCAAAGTAACAAAATTCGAAAAGTGAAAAACAGAGTTACCAGGAGAAGAAGGCTTGTCGATAACTGTTCATTTTAACCCCTCCCCTCTCCCCCCCCCCCCCCCCAAAAAAAAAAAAAAAAAGAAAAGAAAAAGAAGTATTGTTAATAGAGGTAGGAGGAAACTCCACACCATCTTTAATAAAAAGCTCGAGATATGTTAACTAAGAAAGGTCACTATAAAAGAATTTAAACATGGAGACATCTTAAGAACTTATCAACCAAAAAGAAAGACGACTACAAGCATACAAAGAAGTGCTATAATATCATGAAGGCCAATTACAAGTCATATTTTACTATCAATTTAATAGAAATGTACTCTCTGCCTCCCATGCCACACACCTTTAAGTTAAATCTTTTAATATATATTTGAAAGCCTTTTATTTAAAGTTTTTACTAATTATTTTTGAAAGTTTAATAAATAATATACCTATATGATCCATACTGCCAGCATTATGTAGTAGGAAAACACCTAGTTTCTTGTTGTAATTAAATATAAATTTTAATAAAAAGACCAAGGAAAGAAAGGAGTTTGATGAGAAAAGAAAAAACAAGACCAACATTTGGGAACAACGGAATAATTTATAATTTCCCCAACCTGGAAACCCAGTGACACCAACTATATCACCACGCTTCACACTGGAATGCAATTTTGCGAATTCGGCTTCATCCAAGCCTGACTTGCTGCAGTAACAGAAGAAAAAACATAAAGAGAGGTATGAGGATGGAGTTGACTGGTAAGAAAGGAAACAGGACAAGAGACAGAAAGGCTCATAACCAATGACTAACCTCAACTGGAATAATTTCACAGAAGCCAAGGTAATGCCTCCAAAACATTTAACTTGTATTTATTTAAAATAATGACATTCAATTAATCTATTCCTATACATACAGATTTGTAGCAGATTACAATATATCTGAATGCTTAGAAATAAGATAGATACATGAATTATGGATACAGGAGATTATATTGGGCATATAGGAGAGCAAATAAAACATCGTATCATAATGAAATTCCAACCACGCTCCTACGATTGGCAAGAGAGCTAGCGAAATATCAACTATAGCATTTTCAGTGGTTAATACAAGCTTGCTTTAGTGTCAGCAAGAAAGCCTTTGAAATATTAGCCATAGCCTTTTTGGAGATAAACATGCAAGCTTTTTTAATTGTTCCATGAATACAAATGAGAAGGTCAAAACCAAAATAGAACCATAAAGCAGTGTAAATATTCATCACACATGTAGATGGCAAAATAGATTGCAAACCAACTACAATCCAGTATTTTTCTTCTAAAATGCCCTTCACTTGAGGAGGAATCATGTATCATAATAAGATTCAAAAACAGAAAATATACTGTAATAAAATACATATTCACCATATGCTCAGTAATTTAGCTGGATGATGCACCTAAAAATGCAGCTTTTTTGTTGCAATGAGTGTAAAATGCAGAGAAAATCTAACATCAAGGATAAAGCAAATTGTTTTTACCTCGAATTTCCCACAAACTTCCCAATACAAGAGGAAATTTGGAGAAAAAGAAATAAGATCATATAAGTCCTACAATAAAAATGGTTGTATACCTCGCATCAGCCATAACTTGGACTTTGGCACCATCACCATGCAAGTCATAAAAGAACAGCTTTGAACTGGATGCTCTTTTGCTCATAATTCTCCCTATCATAAAAGAAACATGATTCATTTCAAAAATAAAATAAATGAAAAGCAACCATGATGCATTGGATAATATACAATGGGAGTAGGAGTGCTTGATTTAAATACCAGCCAAAGATTCTGTAACATCCTCAATATGCTCCCCATTGCCTAAGCTTCCATATTTATCTATATATTCAATGATAGACATAGATGCGAAGAACTTATGAGGATATGGATTTTTCCCCTCTGCCTTCTGGCTTGCAAGAAATTTCAACCTATTTTCATGGAATTGCTGCCAAGAAAAGGGTTAAATTTTAACAGTATGTCCAATAAATTAATTGGAATCTTAATGAATTTTGAAATGTGCAAAGCATGACTATAGCAATCAGTAAAATATACCGTGGGATCCATATCTTCATCATCAGTTCCTGCAGGTTTTTGACTTTGTGAGCTTGCCTTGGCTGCAGCCTGAAGAAAAATATTATTTAATTAGCAAAGAGATCCTAATGAAATAGTAAGATTTCAACAATGATAAATAACATGAAGAGGAAGAAGATAACCTTGGTCATCCTTTTCCAGTATTTAAAATTAATTAAAAGCTATCCACGGAAGCCTACTATTATTATACATTCATCTGCAGCTATTGATTATTATGATCAGTACAACCATAGATGTTTGTCTTTGTGTCTAAAACTCCGCATTGAATGCATTAATATATCAGTATATATATATATATATATATATATATCTAGAACTCTGAATTGACTACATTTAACCTCCTTTTACCACCAAAACAGAAAAGAAAACAGCCAGAGTTCGTCTTTTCTACAAATCTTGCAAGCAAATGATATATATATTTGTCACAAGACATTTCCTTTAAGAACCTAACTACAATCTTCCATTTCGAATATAATAAATCTCACTCGCGTCTCTAGCTATCCTTGCATTCTGTTTGATATGCAATCAAGTACCTGTTTGGCCGCTTTTTCCTCCTCCTTACGGCGACGCTCCTCTTCCTTCTGCTTATTTTTAAGTTCCTTCTTACGAGCACTGCCAACACAATTTATACAAATAAGAAAATGAGACTGATAATCAAAATATCCGGTTGCTTATCTTTCGATTTCCTGCTAATTTTCTCAGGAATCAAACAAGTGAGTAGCGAAAGCTAAAAGAAAGGAGACATACTTTTTGCTCTGAGTTTCACCGGTAGCTGCGGAATCCATTGATAAATCGGAAACTGCCTTCGCCGTTTCTTCGACGGACCCTTCCATTTGAGAGAGTGAGACAAAGAAGAGTTACGCGAGGAATAAAGAGCTAGGGTTTTAAAACAAACAAAAACCCAAAGCTACAAATTTATTGGGCGGTTACTGGGTAATTCTTTGGTTACCATACCGGTAAATCATATAACGGAAAATAACTTTTTTTTTCTTTTTTACCTCAAAAAACCCTTCTTTTTGAAGTAAAATTTGAATTATTATTATTATTATTTTTTTTTTTTCTAAGATTCGGGCGGTCGACAAGTCTAACACTTTATTGAATCCAGTATCACGGAAAAATATGATTCGCACTTGAATTTTTATTGGATTTTGTTTTTAAAATTGCAATTGTCGTGTTGACTTGAACTTTAATTTGGTCAATGACTATTGAACATCAATAGCATTTTTTTCTTTACATTTTTTTTTTATTTTATGACAAATTTTAGAGAAGTAAAAAATACTAACAAGTAGCTAACAAAATTAATAAACAAAAAAAAAAATCTAAAAATGAATTTATATTTGGTATAGCATATACATTTTATATATTGTTAATGCATCATATGTTATTATTTCATTAATTCATAAATTTAAAAGAATTAAAAAATTTTAAAAATAAATACTAAAAATTAAAATTTTTAAACAAAAGTAATTATCACTTTTTCTCTTTCAAGCAGTCTTAATTTTTAAATTTACAAATTAATAAAGTGGTAACAATGCATTTATAATATATAAGATTCATATAATAACAATGTATCAAATATAAATTTTATATATACAAAAAAATGGATGAGAAGAAACAAATAGAAAAAGAAATTTAAAAAAAAATAAAAAATAAAAATATTAAAAGGATAAAGGAAAAATTGTTTGTTTATTTTTTAATATGCTACGAAGTCTATATTCCTTTTTATTAGAAAATATTGACACTTTTATAAATTCCCAATGTATCTTTAAATTTTTTTACCTTTATATTTAAAAAAGATAAATAATTAATTTTAAAGTCGTTACTTGTCATTATAAATAACTCCATCACTTTTATTTTAGTAATAATATTTATTAAGTCAATACAATATATTTTTTTTCTCTTGTGATACAAAATTTAACACAAAAAGTATTAAAACATATAACTAAAATAATTTGTCAAAATAGCTCAATTTATTGTGACAAATTTTTTGACTTTAAAAAAAATAAAAATAGTGATGGAAAAAAATCACAATAACATAATTGTATTGTGATGATAATAACGACTCTAAAAGTGTTGCAATAATTACAAAACTATCATTACTTGTGTTATTTTTATTAGTGACAAATTTTTTGTCACCAATGTTCATTGAATAGAATTATATCACAAATATTAAAATTATTTTTTACAATAATTATTGTCACAAATAAATTAATTCTTGTCACAATAAAATTTGTCAATTATATATATAAAAAAAACTATCATTGGTGACAATAAAAAATAAATTGTTACAAAAAATTACACTTGTAATTACAAAATAATAATCACTAAAAAATTATTTCAAAATATAATATGATTATAGTGACAGAAAAAATGATCACCTCATTTACTTTATAAAATTAAAAAAATGATGAAATGATTATAAATAAGATACTAATATGTGTGTATATATATATATATATATTAAGTTTTTAATTTCTTGAATCCAATCTCAAAAGTAATATCCAAAATACAATTATCACTAAAATTTTACTAATATTTTTCTACCAAAAAATTAAATAATTACTAAAAAAAGTTTTATTCCACAAATATGATAATGTCCTAGTGGTGGTAGTAGCCTTAGGTTTGCTCGTCTTCCTTTTCATCACCATCTCCACCAGCAGCCTTCATGAAAGTTGCTCTCTGGTTCTTTCTCTTCACTCTTCCAGGACGGCCACCTCGAAATGAACTTGTTACAGAGAAGTCAATATGTTTTCGTGAATCAACCCTCACCATGAAGGATTGGATGTTGACAACCTGCCTCCCAGCCCTATCAATGATAGCAAAACATCATGATACAATACTCAAAGCATCTATAACATCTTTCAAACAAGAAACTGCAAACCAGAAATCACACATGGGAATATACAAAGGCGGTAAAGCACAAGGCAATAAATAAGTACTAGCATGCATCCCTTGCTTCGCATTGGATTAATTTACATATATAGTTAAAATAAATTTCTTGCAAGAACATCCAATATACATAGATTGTTAGATGACAGAGTCTATAAATAATTGCTATAAGTTGATTTGGTTCAAGCAATCAGTATTTAAGTAGTGTCAAAAAATGGAGAATTAACCTTTATGAAAGAGAGTTAGATTGTCGAATACACATTCAAAAATTGATTTGAAAAGATATAAAGAAGGTATTGAATTCAATAAACGAAATACATATTATTATAAATATAAATTTTTTTTAATCTTCAAAATAACAGCAATACAAAAGCTTATATACTTAACTAAAAAATTAAAAAAAAAATCCATAGTTTTTTCATAGTTCTTTATAAAATTTCCTCTTTGTTTGTACAATGTGTTCCTTTGTTTTTGTAAGATGGGTTGCTCGATACTTTCATTATATTCTTGTTTCTTGCCTTCTTGCACTACTTTTTTTCTCTACTCTTGTGCTTTCCCTTTAGCTAGCATGCTCTTCACCTTGTTCGGGTTGAAAGATAAACTAATTTAAATTTTCACCCTTTAATCAGATTAGATGAAAAAATAATTAGAAAAAGGAAAGCAAAAGAGAATGTCTATTGATAAATTCAATCATCAAAACAATAGCTCATCAAGCACATGATGGATCAAATTATCACCTAAGAATAATAAAAATAACAGTGAATGTTTGAGTTACTTGCTTAAAAGAAAATTTTTAAATCGTTATATAAATGATATTTTTCGGTCCTTAATCAAGCAAATCAAATTAAAGTTAACATACTTTATCTGTTAGCTAGCCTAGTTTGATTTCGTAGAGAGAGTAAAAATTTCATCAATTTTTATAGACATAGGTCACAGAACAATGTGAAACGACTTTGTTGGATGTATAAAGCATACATTTTTAAAAAGATTTACATGCAAACAATTACCAAAGGCTAACAAAGAGAGTGAAATAGACAAAAAAAATTATAAAAAAATGTTTTTTGTATGGTTATCAGGTCCTTATATGATTGTATCTATCCACCAGAAGGCATGAATCAAACATATTGCACATACAAAATTATAGAATTTTGAACTCTTAAGTAGTACAATAAAAGTATATTCCTATCCGTAAGAAGACTAATCATGTATTCCTGATGTTGCTTATTTAAGGTTTGTAATATAAAGAGATGATGAAAAAGTGGCTCACGTTTTTATTTCAATCGAGCTTGATGTTCTATTAGCTGAAGAGGTGCCATCCTTCGTGGGCCCATTCCTCATCAAAGATCAGTTCAGAATAAATAAGATATTTAACCATTTTATTATTAAAAAAAGAAAAAAAGAAGAAAATATAGTGTATTGCAATCCAATGAGATGTATATTCAAGTAAGATTACAAATAACATTCAAGAATATAAAAATTTTGGCTTTCTCTCAAATTCAGCAAAATATATAAGAGAATTATCAAAAGGTGGCAATCAAACTAAAGATTCAACCATTTTTTATAATAACACAGGTCATGGGAGAGATTATGCAATCAAGAGTACAATGACAATGGGAATATGAGCCTATGGGATTATGAGCCTAAAACAATTATAAAGCACAAGACAAGAAATTGCAAACCAGAAATCATATATGGGAATATAAGCCTAAAATAATTATAAAACTTATCAGTTTTTGTCTTTGAATATTTGATTTAATGATTAAACGTGTTTAAGGAGACATTAAATGTTTGGTTTCGGATCATCTTCTTCCTTCTTTTTTTCTTATTTATACTAAAATTTTACTCTCTTAATGTAAAAAAAAAAAACACTTACTAATTTTTGACTTTTGAGCCAAATCAACAAAAACAGCATATCTTATAAAATTAAATAAGATTTTTTTTTATTTGTACTAAAATTTTACTCTCTTAATATAAAAAAAAAATACTTTATCAATTTTTTACTTTTGAGCCAAATCAACAAAAACAGCGTACCCTATAAAGCTAAATAAGTTTTTTTTTTTTATTAGGATCTAAGGCTAACATTAAACCGATCAACTAATTGTACTATTGTTTTGATACATATGAACGGCAAAACCCATAAAGCTAAAAAAGTCCTTTTCTTAGTTAAAGAGAAGTGACGGGGTAGGGAACAGAAATGAGACAAGATCTGTATTATATACAGAGAAACCCTAAACCCTGATGTTTCCTCTTTTCATTTTAGGGCTTTTAATGGGCTTATTTTAATTATAACTTATTATAATAAAATAGAAGCAATATTTATTTTTAAAATAGCTTATTATGATATATATAAGTAATTTAAATTTTTTATAAGTAAAATTAATAAATCAAATAACCTTTTTATTTATATGGTTGACTTTTGATCTTATGAAAATAATTAAAACCCTATGTACTTTATATAGTTTAGTTGTGGATTATATTGTTTCATATTTATAATTGTATAATTACGTTTAAAATAAATAAGAGTTTATATTTATTAATCAAACTATCTTTATATTATATCTTTTGTTCTTATATTTAAAGTTTTCATTGGATTATACATTGACATGATGTTATTTGATAATATTAAAAACCCCTATAACTCTTATTTGGCTTTGATTTGTTTTTTTAAAACCTTATATATTGACATGATAATATTATTTAAAAATTTATGGATTATTAATTTATTATTATTATTATTATTTAATTATAAAAACCACCATCAATTAATTAAATTATTTTTTATCATACTCCTATTAAGATACAATATTAAAATTTCAACATGAAAAGAAATTAGTATACCATGAACAAATTTTCTACAATGATCACATTGGGTGAATTGGAGATCCTTGATTTAACTTGACCACAATGATCATAGCATTTTGTTTTCTTTGACTTAACTTTCATCTCTCAAGTATAGAGGTGTTCGAATTCAATTAAAATTGAATAAATCAATTAAATCAAACTAATTCAATTAATCAATCGGTCATTAAATTAATTTGAATATACATATTTGGTTTAATTGATAATCTCTTTGAGACTTTTGCTTAGGTACAAAAATTTTTATTGATTATAAATCTTTATTTTTTAAATATTTTCTTTAAATATTGAGTCAAATTTATTTTATGTTTTATAAATATATATTAATATGCTAACATTAGTGATGAATTTTCAATCTTAATAGTTTGAATATATTTATTTTTAAAAGCCTTTTACCATTGTTATTGCAATAAAAAATAAATTTAATAATATACAAATTGTTATTGAAGTAAAAAATTAATTTCTTAAATTTATCAATATAAATTGTGACAAACCAATTTCTAGTGATTATAATTTTTTCAATAGCGACGATTTAAATTGACTCAATGATAAATTTGTAATTGTGATGACATATAGTCGACAGTAATATATTACGTTTACTAGTGACAAAAATTTTTGAAACAAAAAGTAAAGTATTACGTGACAAATTATTTTTTCATCACAATGTCTAATACTAGTGACCACTTTATATCTAGTCACTAGAACATTATTTCCTGCCAAATATCATTTGTCGCAAATTTATGCACTTTATTAGTGACTATTTTATAGTGACAAATAATTTTATGTCACAAGAATATACTTATAGTGACAATTTAATTGTGAAAAAGTTTATACCATTACAACTACTATTATATTAGTGACCGAATAGCAATATGTCACAATTACTTATTACACTAGTGTCATAAGAAAATTTCATCACAAAAAATCTAATATTTGAAACAAAATTACTCATGGTCATAATAAAATTGTTACTAAAAATCTTAATTGTCTCATTAACAGTGATACCTTGACCCAAGAGCTTTTTGAAAAATGAAAATCTACTTTAATATAGGTTGATTTTTCTTTATGTATTAATGTCTCGAACATGAAGTCATTATGGGAAAATTTTATAAGTTTGTAATAAGTTTCGGTTCTCTTAATTTTGATTGTTTGAATTCTTGCATAACTAATTTTCCAAATGCATGTGAAAAATCTAAAAAAATTTGGTGATTACCATTAAGAATGAGCATCCTAAGCCATTTCATTGAACATTTGATTCTTCATTTCAATTGGAAGATTCAATACCTTGAGAGCCATTAGGAACAAAAGTTTCACAAACCTTACCCTCACTTGACTATGATAAACCTTGAAAGTTATTGATTTTCAATTGGGTTAGGGAAATGAGACGCTTGATTAATTTGTAAATCTTTTAATACATAAGGCACTCTTCTAAGCTTTTTGGATTTTGGTGATTTAATAAATGTCAAGGCTATTTCAAGCACTTCACTATCCAAATTCCTTTACAAATCACAAATTCTAACAAAGCCATATTTTCTCAAGTTGTTTAGTATCTTGACTTGTGCAACATTTTTCCTCATTTTTAGTCTTTTACCATGTGGTCTTTCACCTTCATTTTAGGGTAAATTTACTGAAAAAGCCAAATTACTTGATGTCCTAAATGTTTCTTTGCACCATCTTGATTGAATAACTATAGACATACAAATTTATCTAGGGTTGTAATTATTTATTTTGTTTTTGTTAAATAAATAATTAATTAATGAAAAAAATGAAGTGTTTAAGTTTGTATAAAATTTGTTTGGATTGTAAAGTTTTTGTTGAACTTAAAGTTTGAAGTTGGAATTGAAGAATAATTGAAACTCTTTTAGTTTAAGGTTCTTATTATCGGAGCCCTATAAATACAAACCCAAATCAAGCAATAGAGCATACACAAAGAGATCAACAAGCAAAACAGATGCACGCAGAAATTAAAAAAAAAAAGAGTAGTTTGGCAGGGGTTATGAAAGCTTGGTGGTTTTTGAAGATTTTTTTTCTTTGGAAAAATTTGAAAAATTTTCAGATTTT